TCACTGGAGGGTGGTAGCCAGGAGCGAAATAGCTCCGGCGAGCTCGTGGTTGACATCCTGACCCGTTGGAGGCGGGTCACGACGAGGTGACGAACAGATGGAAGGAGGTAGCGGAACCAACTCCGGAAGAATTGGAGAACGATCTGGAATCGGTTGTGGAGGCCAGTTGATTGGCCCGCCCAGACTATAGACCGGGTTTGCTCCTCCTTCACGGAAGGCAGGATCCTCAAACGGATTGTGGCTGGTGCGACGGGAAGAAGGAACCGGAGAACGTGAAACAGTGTCCGGTGGGAGTATCACAGCGGTACCCCTAACTGTGGGCGTAACGGGTGCAGCTCGAGTGGGCGTAACCAGAGTCGGATTGTTGACCAACGGAACATTATAACGTCGGGCGGAGAACCCGCGGAAATTGTCGGTCATGTCGAGATCCCAAGAGTCAGTTCGAATATACTGTTAGGATCGTGCGCTTGAGACGAAGTCCGAGGTCAGAGTTACGAAGTCCGGAGTTTCGGAGCGCAGTGGAGTGAGGACTTGGCAAAGCTATTAACAATGCCCCTGGGAGAACTCGACGAGGTCCTCTATTTGGACTTGGACGGAGGTGGACTATGACGGAGTCCGGAGATAGAGTCGGAGGAAGGAGGAGGAGAAGACGAGAGCGAGAGAGAGAAGAGAGAAGCTAGACAGAGGTCGGACGGAAGTCCGGAGTTCAGACAGGAGTTCGGAGGAAAGGAATTCGGACTTGCTGGGGAGAGGGCCATAGCTGGCAGTACGATCCCTTTGGTAGGAGATATGTCAATTTATGAACAACTTCATGCTGCCCGCATCAGAAGTCATGGTTGGCAAGACTGCTAGTATATTGTCTATGCATAGAGTACTGACATATCTTCCACATTTTGCACTTCAGAGTAGCCTGCTAATTTATTAGGTTGTTGTAATATGAGGATCATAGCTTGCAATCATGAGCAACAGACATTATGGATCTGTTTCTTACTTGGTAAATTGCCAAGTTGCTTATCAATATGATCTGAATACTAATGAGCAGTGTTACTGGTTTGCATTGATAGTAACATAGAGCAAATAGCTTGGGAATGTTGCAAATCAGTAAGGAGAGCCTCTAGATCAACTAGAACTCAAGGAAGGGGAATCTGGGGGGTTGACTACAGTAACCACTACTCAGTTGGGACTTGCTGTCAGTGCTGTTGTACAAGTATTAGCCCTTGATCAGAGAAATTCTGATACCAAAGGATGTCTTTCAGTAGATTGTTAACAGTACTTCCCCAAGTCCAAACCAATCAACAGTGGAGGATGGAACCAATATACAGAGGAGAAGTATACCAGTAAGGAATTCTGAAAAAGGCCTGTCAAGAATTGATGTGTTATACAAGGAATACAACCAAAGAATGTGCAGTTTGCTCTCACCATAAGTGAACAGTTACCAAACACTGACCAGTAGTACAAAGCCATACTAAGGTATGTTACTGGATTGGAGCTCAGCTTCTGAGTCAATAGTAATGGGCTCATGTAGTACAATGTGAAGCAATGTATCACCATAGTAAGTGCCATCAAGACTGATAGAGTCATGGGCAGGATTGATCACTGATGAATTGAAGGTACACTGGCATAAGAGTACAGAAGCAAGTGGTAGATGAGATGTATGTTTGGACTTGCTCATAGGGATGCTCCTTTTGTGCATTCATGCACAGCCTTTTAGCTACATAAAATACTTGATAAAATACTACAAAATAGTAGAAGACTCAGTACACCACTTTCCAAGGCCATTCAAGATGCACAATAAGCTCACAGGCTCATTGTAAGGCAAGGGTAGATGTGCCAATAATTCTCACTGATCATCAAGGATGTGCTCTGTGATTCATGACACACCACTTGCATGTTGTCCTGAAACACTAGCACAGCCTTATGAACACTCAGAAATAGTGTACAGCTTGACAAGTCACCCATAGATTGCCTGCCAGCTGGGATAATATATCAATAGATAACATAGTCTGAGCTAATAGAACCCCAGTAATATCTTTCAAAGCATCTGGTCACAAGGGGTCTAAGGAGAGCACTAGAAACTTGGTAATAGTCCAGTCAGAACATACACCAATAGGTGCCACAAAGAATAACAATGTGGGAAAAAAAGATCACTTAAATCTGGTCAGAAGGCATTGTGAACCCCAAATGAAGTCCATTAAAAGAATCTAGAATAAAGATAACAAAGCCCAGGAGTGATAACAATTCCTGCTGCCTACCCTAGTCAAAGACCATATCTATGGAATTTCTTGTAAAAGAAAAGGGTTTTCAATGCCTTGTCCTAACAACAGACTGCATACTAAGACTTGCACATGGGCCTTTCCTGGGTATTCTAGTAATGCATACTATCAATGGTCATGCTCTCTGATCATAAGTCCAGGGATTTCTATATCTTCAGACATACTCCCACGATAATCACCAGTGTCATTTTCTGGCTGACTGTTCATTTTGTGTGCACATACAATGTATGGTACTATATTTGGATTAGACACTATATTTTTCATGTTGACATTCCTTGGGCATGGCAGATACCACCCAGGATCAACTGCCAAATGGTGTACTGGTAGGCACGCTGCCACAAATTTCCAATGCTGTTCAAATATCACACATGTTCACACCTGGGTCTAAAGTGTTATATTTCCACTTTCCATATAACATGAAAGGACCCAACATGAGTAGCTGATATTTTATCATCACATGTAAAAGGAAACAGTTGCAGCAAATGAGAGTACTCCCAAAGTCATATTGTTGACTAGAGATCCATAAAAGGACAGCCATATATTGGCTCAGAAGTCCATTGTAATATGGCCTCTTCACTGTTGCTTAGTAAGCAATGCAAGTCTGCATTATTTCCATGGCAACCATGACTTCTTCTGAGCCCAATCAGGAAGAAATCACAGCATACACTGCAATATGAGTGATAGTAGACATTGCACAAACAGACACCACTGTCAATACATTTTTGCCCATATGAACAAGCCAAGAGCTGCCTATTCTATCTTCACATACCAAGGGCCGTTGCATGAGAATAGGATGATGGTAGTGCATACAGACATTGAATATGCTCCAGGCAAAAATTATATGAGCAATTAACAACCAAGCATAGCACCATCATACTGTATAATTGGCACTGCTTCATATTGATACAATCAGTCAAAGACATGCTTATACTGGACTGGGACAATAGAGCTGCAGACATCAGGCTGTGAACTCTGCATGAGCACATCTGAGATGTACTGTCATGCATTGGCCTACAACAGTCAGCTGATTTTATCTCATTTCCTACCATTTATCTAGCATTGCAGAGACCATCAAAGCATTTGATCACCTATGTGTGGTGTCCCCACTTTATGACATTGCTAGCCTATAGACTTTCTAGCAACAGTAGTAGATGCACAACACAACTTGTACAATGTCTTTCTATCACTTTCTAGGATCAGTACAGTGTCATAAAGCTCTGTGAACCCATAATATTGATAGCTATGCCATTCACATGTGAGACAGAGCCAATATTATGAACATACTCAGCATTAACTATGGCCTTTGTGCCACAGGTGTTCACCATTTTCTGCATATGCATTGCCTGCCAATGGGTTTAGACATGAGCCAATCAATACTTATAGCAAGCAGTACAAGGTGAGTGGAATCATACAGAATATTCCCTTGTTTAATCCGCATTTTCTGAGCCCAGACACAGCAGATAACTCGGACTTTCCATTTTGAGAAGGTCAGGTACCACATATGGCAGGTTTCATTCAGGTCTCATATAGCCACACAATCCATAGGCAGTTGGCGAGCATCACAGGAAACACAAACAAAGTGAAAGAACCAGTGTGTACAGAGGAATATGTATTTTATTTTGCTTTGTGAATGGTGGGTGCCATGTTTATATGAATCCATGGGAAGGCATACTATGTACAGCCTCTCTGACATCATATACATGACTGGGAATATTCCCAACTGTTTTTTGGGAGACCATAGCACAGCAAATACAGTGTCACTAATGAGCTTGTGGCTTGCTTTCAAACTCAGCCCAATAGCCTGCCTTTGCAGGGCCTATTCAAGAGTTGAACTGAACAGAATAGCCTGGGATCCTGTCTGGAGCTGCCAGTCCCTGAGAATTCCAGGTGATAATGGTGCTTACAAGATGGACCAAGACTCATTGAAAGAGTGGCTTGTATCAGGCTATGCATGGGAAACTCTGCATTATTATATGTTTTCTGCCATATGGCCTCAACAGTCAACCCAATACAAATTCATAGTACTATCTAATTTTTCTCTTATTTTCCTGCTATTTATCCAGTCCTGCAGAGGCCATGCATGGCCAACTTCCCAAATGGGCAGGGGACTAACCATATATGGCAGTTTTGTATGTTTGATATCCTCCACCCCACATAGCCCATACATGTGGAACTGTCTTGTACAAGCATTTTGCTTATATCCCCAGTATCACTTGCCAAGGTCAGTACTCTGTGAAAAACAACAAGAACACCTAATCTGGCACCCTTGTCAGTACTCAAGGGGCATTCCATGAAGAAGCAATATTTTGGGAGTTTTCTGCATTTAATGGGGTTCTAGTAAGAGCTCAGTTAGTGTGGCTTGAAGCCATCAAAAAACTCGGCATGAAGAGCTGAGATTGAAAGATTACTTTAAAAGGTAACATTTGTCAGCATTCCAGCCAATGGGAGTGCTCCAAAATCCCTTTTGAGTGACCGGAGTCGTCGACAGGCCGGTAGGCTCGTTCCCAGCCGTTCTGGCGTAAGAAATTTCAAACTCAGTCGTGGCACTCCTCACGTTCGCCAGAACGGCTGGTCCAATTGGGCGCGCTTTACCTGAGTACCCCCGTGGGAAACGGGACTTAGAGAAATCGCGCACATCGTCTACTGAGCACAGAGCACCGAGAGCTCGTCCAGCGGCCCAAGTCGCTGTCCGTACGGAGGAAAGTGGTTTTATTTTGCATAATAGTATCAGGAACCAAACTCGAAGTCGCCAACACGGTCAGGATCGAGTGCTACATCGCCCGCGGTGTCAAGCGAGAACATGATGTCCTGGGGCTGTGCGTCTTCTTCTTCCTCTTCATCGCTATCCTCGTCGTTGTCGTCTTCTTCGATGTCACTATCTCTGTTCTCGTCGCCGCGTTGCATGCCATCCAGCGCACCACCACGAAGCTCCGAGCTGCTCGGCACTGCTCGACCTACATCGCTCGGCCCAGCAGTCCGTGAAACAGTCTCCGAGGCCAGACTCGACGCGACTGTCTGACCCGGATACTTGCCGCCCACAAGAGGCGTGGTCCGACAGCGGGCTTGGAGCTTGGAAAAGGTCTGATTGAAGTCTTCGAGTGGCCCTTCAAGATTCTCTAGCCCAAGTGTCAATGCGTCGGGGACGACAGGTCGATCATCGTCAATTGTGCGGCCGGGAATGACCTCGTAAACACGATGGTGCCGCAAGGAATTCATGAGTATGTCGATATCCTTCTTGATGCTCGGACTTGTGTGCTTTGACCCTAGCTTTGCACCGAGGGACGCATTCATTTGTGTAGATAGGCGGCGAAGGATGTCGATACACGGTGAGATCATCGCAAGCCATTCCCAAGATGCGTTGCTCCCGTGCGCCCTATAAATCGTCTGTTAGACGGTGAGTCGTGTCACAACAGTCAGCTCTTCGTGCTCTCATGCCTAGCTTTGTAAAACTCACCTTAATCCAGAAATTCATATGCTCCTGCAAGAGGTCGACTTCGACCCACGAATCTGGTTTGCCCGTCGGGTTCACGAGCCAGTTGTTCAAGACAATTTTCCTGGGCAGCATATCTGATCAGGTGAGTGACTGTGATTGATGAGGTCGATAGACGCACCGTAGTCCCTCCGGCCAGACGTGAGTTAAGTTGTGTATCAAGAATAATACCTCCTGAGCATACTTTGTTCGTCCAGATCCGCGATAGATCAACGCCAACGCCTTGAGTATTAACACTATGCGTCCCGATACACCCATTTTGATTGCATTTGTCAAGGCACGCAGAACTAGAGAATCACGCATGAAGAGCAATGCATTCTCGTACACCATATCACCTTCCCTCGGTATGTGCTGTTCAGCCTCGTGGTTATTTGGCTGACCGCTTGCTGTCGCCGCCTCTGTCACAGTACTACGACGGACACCTTCACCTGACGAGGATGGCTCGTTGCTGGACCCACCCTCAACAGCCTCGGTGGCCATGCGACGTGCTTCGGCCGCACGAGCCGTGCGTAGGCGGCCCACTGTACGGCCGTCTGTGTAGTGGTCGACGATCTCGGCTGTGTGTTCCTGGAGCCGCGTCCATGACACATGCGTCGCGTAGTCATCGAGAGACTCGCATGCACTGACTGCCTCTAGGCATACGAGGACCCGTGCATACAACGAGACGTAGATGAGATCTTGACAGACGCGGAAGGGTGGGAGGCTTGTGAGGGTGATCGGCTTGCGGTCGAGTACAGTGTTGTGGAAGGCCAGTGAACCGGGGTTACGATGACTCGTGGTCTTGCCGTAGTGTAGCTCCATAACACCATGTGAGCCTGCCATCTTATAGTGGAACAGTCCAGGCATTGTGACAGCCCAGAGGTAAGAGTTCGTGAAGTTGTCATGGCCAGCACGATTCTTCGCGAGTGAACGAAGACGTGCAATGGATAGCTGGTCGCCAGCAATGACCCGGACAACATCACCAAAACCGTCTGCCCCCATGTCCTGCCCCAGTTCTGCAAGGATAGTCTTCGTCAGGTCTGCATTGCCAACGATGGTCGATTCGTCGATCTTCATGGATGGCAGTGGAAAGATTCGGGTCTGATGAAGAGGGATGCGCGTCTCAAGCAGTGGGCCAAAGCCCTCGACATCCTTCGTGAAGCGTGAAAAATTGTCACCGCCGTGTGTCACGATGATTTGGAGAACAGTGTGTTGGAGAATCCTTTTGAAGTCGAGGCTCTCCTGAGGCGTGAAGAGCACATCATTACGACCGAGTGGCGGCGCATTGACAATCCCTGCCATGAGGTCCGCACACTGCATGGCATCTTCAGTCGCACCGTATAGCTCAAATGCCGTGGCGCATGTGCCGTTCTCCTGTGTGTCCTTTCGACCAATCGTCTGCTCAGCGACGCGGAAGACCATGTTGATATTGTCGTATACAAACGCGACGAGACGTGTCGATGCGTTAGCACGTGCAGCGCGTCGACACGCATCCGAGAGGCGCTTGAGAATGCCCTCGACTCGCTTCTTCTTCACCGTATTCTTGGAGTTGTCCTTCCCGCCATCTTCTTGCTGGCCACTACCTCGACTCTCAGCACGAAGGTCATCAAGGGCGGCCAGGATTTCGGCACCTCTATCTCCTTGCTCAGTACCTCGAAGCTCATCGACCTGGGCCCAGAGAAGATCGTCCGAGTTTGCAGGTGACGGCTCTTGCGCGTGAATCGGAGAGGGTCTATGCGATGGTGGATTGTGAAGGGGTGGTGGATCTAGTGGATCGACGGGTCCGTCGGGTGGATTGATGAGACCGCCTGGTGGAACAGTTGTATGAGGTTGCCTCGGAAGAGTCGATGGTGCAGGGGAATCGGGTTCTGGATTTGAAGGGCGCGGGCGGTTAGGTGAGTCGTCATTGTCACTGTCCGATAGCTCGGATTCTGAGCTTTCTGTGTCGCTAGCAGGTGTAGTCTCTGACTGTGCAAGTTCCGTGGGATCCTCCGGGTCCAGGGTGTCATCACCGAGGTTTCCGGTGAGGGTATTGTAGCTACTGCACAACCCAAGATGTGACAGCAGCTCGATCATCTGGCGTTTCGCCCCCAAAGTGTACGCGTACAGCCCAAAGACATTGCGCGCGTAGTTATTCTTCTGACTGCGTGCACTGAGACAGATGAGTGCGCTCGTGGTGAGATACTAAAGCCGATTGTGAGTACACATCCGGCGTGCTGAGCTTCAGTATGTACTCACATTTTGGTGCCGTTGCAGACTCGTCGCGGTGCTCTTTTGTTTCTGCCTTGTGGATGTACTGAAGGCGGACAACAGATCCATCATCAATGGACAAATAAACTCGAGATCTCCGGCTAATGCCTCGAGGCTGAAGTCCAATGCAAAGTGTTCGTTGATCTCCTTTTTTTCGGTACGCAGGAAGCCGTCCTTGCACACTGCATGACCTTCGCGAGCTACCAGTCGAGCGATGTATGCAGAGGCCCACTCGCGAACGGTCTCTCTTCCTGTTGCGCTATTTTGCGAAGAGACCCACATATCCAGCACCTCGACAACACCGACTCGGTCCCGGAATAGACCCCAGTACCTTTCCTTTCCGCGATAACCACTGGGGTCAGACATGAGGCGAAGGAGTTCAATAAAAGGTACGTTCGCCTCCTCGAGTATTGCAAGGGCCTGTTCGCATGCGGCTTGACAGATTGCTGAACGCTCCTGTTCTGCAGCTTCTTCCTCGAGGCGACGAGCCCGATCACGATCAGCTTTGTCCTTGCGACGACAATCTGCAACAGTTCGTGCAGGGGACTTGGGGAGCATGGACGTGTCCGAGATGACATGGTCGCTTGATGCAGGGATTTGATAGAGTGCAGAGAATAGAGAGGGCAAAGGGGCCCGGGGCTCGTCGACATCCGATGATAGTTCCGTGAGTGGTGAAGACCGGGGCAGTGGACTGAATGGATGTACTTGATCCTGTGACATTGTGCAGACCACTCGGCGGACGACCTAGTGTCGAAGTGAGAGAGGGTGAGCAGCGATTGGAGTTGAGTTCATGACCGACAACACTCGAAGGGCTGACAGGCGCGCAGTTGATCGCGGCTTGCCTGTCGATCACTCTCGCTTTTCACTACACTCACTGCACTGAGAACTCCATGGCTCGCGGACCTGCGAAGTATGCCTATAAATTACGCCGCCCTAGTAGGAAAACTCTACAACAGCACCAACAACAAAAGCTCACCGCAGAGGAGGTGAAGGAGCTCGCCCGGCTCATGCAGACACGGTTTCGCTGGAGCAGTGAGCCGCTATTTTTCCAACTCGAAGGCGTAAAGGCGCAGCTCGAAGGCGTTGATGCCATTATTCAAGCCCCAACCGGCTCCGGGAAAACAGCCATTGCTGCAGGCCCTCATCTCTGGCCGACCAACGAAGGGAAGACGACCATTATGGTCTGTCCGCTACTGGCTTTGGAGGAAGAAATGGTATGTCGAGACTCGAGTTGGTCCTCATGCCCAACTTGAATGTGAACATGTACACTTATTTCTGCTCACTAGGTCGAGACATTCAAGACCGAGTTTGGCCTGACTGCCATTGCTGTCAACGGTCAGAACACACTTTCACAGAATCGACAGATTATGCAGGTAAACACCATTTACGATCTGCGCCCTCGGGGTCATGTTGACTCTATGTATAGGAAATTCTGCAGGGTCAATATCGCATCATCTTGATCTCGCCCGAAATGCTCCAGTCAAGCACGTTCAAGGACCGCATTCTACGGAACACCCGATTCATGCGCCGAGTCATCAGCATTGTTGTTGACGAAGCACACTGTCTGTCCCACTGGGGAGCAGACTTCCGTAAGAAATATGCGAGCCTCGGAACTGTACGAGTGTTCCTTGCACCGGGTACACCTATCATTGCTGTAACGGCAACGCTGACCGCGCGTGTCCGCCGTGATCTTCATAACAAGCTCCACTTCCCCAAGACTGGCAGCCAGTTTGTCAATGCCGGAAATGATCGCCCCAATGTCTCGATCGTTGTTCGCGCATGTGAGCACCCTCAAAACACGCTTGCTGATTTAGACTTCGTGCTACCAGAGAAGATCGAGACAGCAAATGACATCCCAAAGACATATCTCTACGTCGACAACATTGATACTGGTAACGACATCATCGATCACCTCGGGACTCTCCTTCGACAGCGCAACCCTGCCTTGTACGAATTGGGTGTCATCCGCCCTTTCAATGCTACGATGTCCGCTGGATACCGCACGCATGCCATGGCGGCCTTCCGCAACAATCATGAATACAGCAGTGCGGACGTCACTGCAGATAACCTGAAGATCGGTCCGATCCGTATTCTGGTGTGTACGGACGCTGCTGGGATGGTAAGCGAGATTCCATTGCAGTGCCATGACACGGTAGTTTACTCACGTCATGGTCATCCCAGGGATGCAATGTTCCTGACGTAGATGTCGTCGTGCAATGGAAGCTGCCTGCCACCTTGTCAAATTTCATCCAGCGAGCTGGACGTGCCGCACGCGCGCGTAATAGGACCGGGATTGCGATCCTCCTTGTGGAGCGGTCGGCTTATTCAATCAACTTAGCATCGACATCGCCGACCCACGAATCCAACTCGACCACAAAACCATCCACCAAACGCCACAGACGCAAAGCTCGCGGACCTCCGAAGGACAGTCGCGAGAAGACACCAAAAGACTACGCCAAGCGACATGGCGTCAATCGCGGAGGTAGTGCGGGTGTTGCTGGGGACAATACCCTCGACCCGGCGGACCACCCGAAGCTTGACCACGACACTGACGATGAAGGTCTTCTCGCTTTTGTACAAAGCACTCAGTGTCGTCGGAAAGTCTGGAGGTCCATCTATGAGTGCCCAGCATCTGGTAAAGTGCCGAAATCATACTCACCAGACATGAAATCGAGCTGACCCACTGTTCATCAGAGCGCAACCCATCTTCCGAAGTCCCATGTTGCGATGTATGCCACCCATCACTATTGAATCGAGCACGCCCGCCTCTCTTGGGCCAACTTGCCCAGAAGAATGCAAAACAGAAAGTAGGTCTCCCCGACCCTGCCACGCAGACCGCCCTCGAAGACTGGCGCGAGAGGAAGCTTGAGGAAGATCACACACATGCACTGTTTGGTGCCACTGCGATCCTCAGCGACACACGGGTCGAACGCCTGGCCTCTGTCGGACCCATCACGCGTGCCGTGGCTGCAGCAATGCTCAAGACGTGGCTATGGCGTGACAGGTATGAGGCCGAATTGACAGATCTCCTGCTGTCGCTGCCTATCCGTTCGATTCCAAAGGCCAAGAAGGCCGCGAGTAGGAATGATGGCACGAAGAAAGCATCCGCTCGCAAGGGCCATGCGGGTAAACGTGGCAACACCGATGACACCAATGTTACCGAGGACGGACATGAGCCTCTTCACTCACACAAACGCGCACGGCACACTGATTCCAACAAGCCGTCTGAGGTACGTCGAGGCCTGACTGCTACTAGTAGCTGGACATTACACTCGCTGCTCGCATTGACACACATTGAATAGACATCGGAATCTTTGGGTAGCCTTATAGGGACCTCACAGAATGTCGTCTCCGTACACACGCACACGCCAACTACCCAGTCGAGCAGCGCGGGTCCATCTCAGGGAGTGCCCTACCCATCTGTAACCCCGTCACCGTTTTCATTCTTACCACCATCGCCTTTTCCATCTCTACCGCCTTCACGGTACCCATCTGTACCCCCGTCGCCACACCCGTCTCTACCGCCCTCACCGTTCCCGCCTGTACCGTTCTCGCCATACCCATCTCTACCACCATCACCGTTCCCGTCCCTATCTCATGCGCCCGGGCCATTGCTGCCGTCATTTCCCTTCCATGCCAGCATACCGAATCCACACGACCTGGCCACTCACCAGGTGCAGTACCATCCCCACCCACTGCCGATAACACCATACCGTCAATGGCCATCGCCGCAACCTGACCCATACAGTCTTCAGGCTGGGCCGAGCTCGACGTCCCAGCATGGCGGCGCGACTGCATCGCACGCGGAAATCTTCAGCACCCAACTTACCTCTGATAACTATCTTGCATTCCAAGCTACCAGGGGTCGAGGTCGCGGTCGCGGTCGCGGACGGGCACACGCGCGCGGCGCAGGAACGGCAGGGCGAGGCAGAGGGCTCGGAGGAGGCGGTGAATGACGACTGGGCTTGTATGCTGCCATGGACTGATGTCCATTGATACGAGAATGTATTCTGGCAATTACAATGTCATATGTGCATGGGATGGCGAATGCGACAACTCGCGAGCGCAGTACTTGCTGCTGAGGGCGGCAGAGCACAATCCGCGATATCTCTAAGTCCCGGGCGCTACGGGGGTACTGGGGTAAACGGCGTCCAATTGCACCAGTCGTTAGAGGCCCCCACCTCCTTTTCGCACTCCGATTCCTTTCCTGGCTTTTATTGTTTCCAAAAGAGGAGTGCCGGAAAAGGTGGTGGCGGGACTCAACGACTGGCTTGCGAGTCTAACAGGCCGGAATTCCGGCCTGTCGACGACTCCGCTTCGGCAACGGGCGCTTAATTGAGCGCTTAGTAAGCGATGTAAGTGCATGCTGGTACTGGAGCACAATTCACTTGTTTTGGGGTCAAGAAAATGCGGATTAATCAGAACATATTCCAGGATATATGTGGAGCATCCCTGAGCATATTTACAAGTGGAGAGGATTGCCCTATATGCTCATTCAGTGCTGAGACATCAAAACATGCATGTTATTACCATTTTTCCCCACCAATAGCTGTGCTGTGCAACTTCCAGACACATCCATGCATTGTAAACTATGCACATATCCATACAGGTCATAGGCAATGTGTTTCAGAGACAACAAGCCATTCATATCTGCACAGTCACTTGTGATTCTCTAAATGTTGTCCTTTGTTCTTCATTCCTCCAATGTATGATTAACCCTTGAAATGATGGGCTATCAAATGAGTTTATCATCTCTATAACCTCTATAAGAGTTGATTAGATTTCAGTCAGTGTATCCCAGTCAAATGCCACATTCATGCATGTGTTTCTCTGTTTCCTGAATTTCAAACAACTGGGCAAGTCATACTAGTGATATATTGTGGGGGCCTCCATACAAGATGAATTGCCTTCATAAACAAGGCAATACAGATGAGTCTGATTACACATAATATTCCCTGATTTTCTGCATTTTGTGAGCCCAGACTGAGCAGGTTAAGCAAAATTACCATTTTAGGAAGGTCAGCTACCCTATTTAGCAGGTTTGAGATGTCAGAGAATCTGTGGGCAGCATATAGGCTTCAAAAGAGAGACTTTTGAGGTGAAAAGGGATGCACTCATGTGCACAGAGGCATTTGCATGTTTTTTTGTTTTGTGAATTGTGCCGTGACCAGTGAAGGTAATGGGCAAGTCACAGCAGCTATAGACTCTATGACATCATACCTATCACAGAGATTATTTTGGGAATTTTCCGCATTTTAGTGAGGCCACAGTACAGCAGGTACAGTGCCACTAAGGAGCCTGTGGCTGAGATTCAAACTCAGCTCAAAACCTCGGCAGCCTGCCTGATTAGGGCAGAAAAGGGCTTGTTGCACCAATCAGAGCAGCTCGGCATCCCTCTCGTGCCGTTCGGAGGTGCAACCGTGCCAAATTTCCGCACGGTTGCACCTCCGAACGGCATCTGGGCGCTTGGTGGGCGCTTAGTAAGCGATGTAGGTGCGGACTGTTACTGTGCTTAAGAGAGTTTGTTTAGACTCAGAAAAAAGCGGAAAATTGAGACAATATTCAAAATGATCCAGGCAATGTGAATAAAGCTGTATATGGCATGGGTTTGACATCAGATAAGATACCATCCTCAATAACCTGGTAAGATGGTTGGTTGCTGTGGCCCCAGTTCATATAGCCTGCCACACCACTCTAGGAACTATTCATTTAGTGGACATTGCCATAAGATGATAGTGTAAGTACACATTCAGGTATGTATCCCTAGATTGTGTCTGTGAGCAAGACAAAGCCAGCAGTGGATGCATAATTACCATATGGAGTATGTGACCTTCCCAAAGAGGAATCATACACAAACAGGGGCATGTAGGGCTCAGAAAAATGCAGAAAATCTATGAAATATACAGACACATCAAAGACAAGTGTATGATTGCCTTGAGCTGCAATGGTTACCATTACATTGTATGCAAGGGCCATAAGATGGCAAAAGATGCTCAGATTACCCAGTATACATCAGGAAAAAAGAGAATTGCCACATGATACCATGTAGCCTACATAGTGTCCATAGCCCCTAATGCATACCCCCCTTTATATTGTACACGATAGCTCTGGCATCTGGCCATATAGCACCCCATAGCATCCTGTAGCACCATGCCTGGACTCCATAGTCCATCATAATCGGGCCATAGCACACCATACTTGGGCAATAGACAGTCGTAGATACACTGCAGATTTTGATGCAACTACTACAGTTCACAATGGGCACAACGAGATTTCGTAAATGAGATGTTATTATTCAAGATTCTAGTACATATCACACTGTATGCAATACACTACGGGTAAACATAATACTAATGGTGTCGTCGGCACGCGCAACGTCCAGAGCAGTGAGACCCCTCTCGGCTGGCCTCAACCCCAACACTTGCTGATGTTGAGACCTACTATGCAGGTAAGCAACATGAACGCAGACACGAGAACGCACCAGCAATATCTGGCATGATCATTCATTGTGGATGGGTGAAGACGCAGGACCCCCGCTGCTCGATGACATATCAGCATAAATCACTGATTACGGATGAACAATCTTACCATCCAAATATGTATCAGTTATTGACTGCGCGAAACAACTGACATCACGAAGTTAGTGCATGTAGTCACTCACAATGTAACAGACTCATCTTTTGGGCGTGTGCAAGCGAGGACCGAGGTCGTACAGTACACTCCTCGCCGCTGTACTGTCTGTACAATACACGAGGGTGTTCCATAGTCTACACATCAGATAAGACTAATATTAGTGAAAACGTAACTGCAAACTGACCGACGTGTTGTTGAGCGCGTTCGCTGTTGTACGAGGGCTTGGATACACCCTACCCAATCTCCTCCTGCTAGTTATGCTTTAACCACATGGCGAAGCCGCCTCAAGTAGGTTTACTCACAAAGTTCTTGCTGTTGCGTTGGTATCTTCCGAGCTCGTCAGGAATGACGAGTCGACGACCACGTTGCTGGCTTGCTGGCATTGTGCGATAGCATCTCACTGTGACCATTCAGCATGTTGTTGGCACTGTTGGGTGAGGTGGTATAGCATTGATACACGGTAAAGCGATAGGAAATGAGACGTGGGCTGAGAGGCATTGCAGTGCAGAGGTGGTAGGAGGAGAGGACACGTCACGCACTTGATGCCCGAGCAGAGTGGGAGACAAGTGCCTGCCTCGGTGTTTCCCGACGACGCGCGTTTTTGTTCCAAGTCGACACCTTGAGTTTGAAGTCGTACTCTCGACCTCTATTTCTTTGCGCACTCGCTGTCAAGATGCTCACAGCCCTTTCAGGAAGTCTGGCGGTCTCTCTTCAGCCGCGCATGCCTCTGTGCCACGCAATCTGGCCACGCAAACTCGGACGAACAGGACGGGCGTGCCAACCGAGCGACAAGACCAGCCTAAACACGACGAGCTCGGGACAAGGAGCTGAGGGCAAGGCAAAGGACGAGGAGGGGGGATGCTGGGGCGGGGTCAAGAAGGCGAGCACAAAGGCTCGAGAGTGAGAGGTACGCACTTGTTGAACGTGTCTACTGCTGCCAGTGCGTGTATAAAACGCTTGCGTCCCCGGTAGTGCCGACTACCAACGACGCGACGTGTCGGCGTTCTGATTAGCCCAGGATGCAGCTCGTGTCCTTGCTGTCCTGTTCATGTTGTCACCACGTATCGACATCCGGCGAGCGACTGCTGAAGAGACGATCAAACGAAGACACCGCATTTGACTTTCGGGCGACTAGGACTATACTGCCCGGATGCTTTGCTCGCGTTATCGGGTTCTGCTCGCTCTGTATCATGCGCCTATCTGGTTACTGACTGCCTGTATGCGCAGGCATATCAGCTCGTCATGGCCGATCGGCCACTCACCGGCGTACCTGTTCGCCTGGTCATCCACATCGACCTTCTGCACAGGCGTCCATTCACTCGCCCGCTGGCATCTGTTCACTCGCTCTGCCCATCTACCGACTCGCCTATCCCCTTTCCCACTCATCCGGACGCCCGCCTGTCTCTTTGTTCGCTCACTCGGCACTCATCCGTCTCGCGCTTGCTCTCCTGTTGACTTGCTTGCCCGCTCACTCACACACCCGCTCGCTCGCGCTTCTAGCGCCTTGTCCGTCCACTTGCTCATGTGTCCACCCACTCGTCCGCTCACTTGTTCCTTCGCGCGTCCACTCCTCGCCCGCCCACTTTTCGTCCACCCGGCATCGGCTTCTCGCGCACTCCAAGTCACCCGCGCAGAGCCCATACCCGCGGATACGAAGCAAGAGCAGGAACGGCAGGTGTCAGGACGCCCGCGGGGGATGCGTTACACGTAGATCAGGGTCCCGCACACGTCGCAACAGACTTGCAAATACATCGGCAAGCGTACGATGAAGGGCGCCCACTTCGACACCGCCTTCATCGTCGATCCAGAGCTTGCGATCGATGGCCGCTGTCAAGACCCGGTTTACCTAGTCTCTCGGTCAACGCGCGGCGGGAAGCCTAATGCAAGCATCGTTAGTGTTGACAAGATTCGCCGTGCTTGTCATCCGGTCCCGAAGTATGACAGGGCAGTAGACAGACGACTTACGAAGGATAACGCGCTCGATACTGCGACCGACTTATGTGTGAACTTGTACATATCCGTAGACCATAGGACATTACCAGAATAACAGTACACAATTACAAGTCGCTCGGATTAGTCAAGTAATATTGACACACGACTGTCACGAACCTCTGGGCACTACTTCAAGTTCGACATAGTGAATTAAGTTATGATGAACTACTGATGTCTATTGCAGAAGCTGTTACTATCATATCTTCAATTGACGAGTACATACAATGAATGACTACAACAACCAGGCTAACTGCTACTGTGGCGCTCGCACGCGCCTAGGCATGCAATGGCGGGCTATGGCTTGCACTGTTGCGGTCACCTGAATCTATACCGGCTCTGAGTGCCTATATTGGCTATGTTGTTGTGAGTGGGTGCAATGGGCCCAGAATTTTTTTCCTGATGTAGTCCTTGTTACCTGTATTATTGAAGCTACTGAGTAGTCCACAGTGTCTGAACTACACATATACATTGCAGTGTACATATAGATCATATTTGAGTCATAAACAAGCAGATTGAATCTGCAGAGGCACATGTGCATTTTTTGCTTTGCATTTCCTGGGTTAGCCAGCCACTGTATACACTGAATAGAATTTCTGTATACTCTCTGAATGAAGGGCTATCAGATGAGCATACTATGTATACTATGATTTGTTACTGGCTGAGCTATATAGGCCCTACAGTGTGTGAGCGCTTGGAGCAATGACCCACCAAGCTGCCAGTCACATGATATGTTTACCAATTTCCTTATTGGGGGAACTGCTAAGGCGTTTCATGGGCCTCATATCCATAACTGAGCGCTTAGCCACTGCATTTGTTTGTATCTGTTGGTGCAAGTCGCATCGTCTGGGAGTCTGAAAATTCAGGCTCAGATAAGCAACCCATACTAACAGTTACTTATCTCTGCTTATCAGGGTGGCTGCAAGTCACGTGCACTGTGGGAACAAACTGCCATTCCGGAGGAATCACTAAGGCGTTTCATGGTGGTCCATCATAAGAACGATACCTTCGTACCTCAGGGATCGTAATTGGTTAAACGAGATATTTGAACTGGAGTACAACAGTGCTACAGTTCGGTCTTTTATACTAAGAGTCCTAATTGTGAACGGAAGACAATAAGTCGGAGGAAATGGTACGGAGAACAATAACGGAGGTCCGGAGATATTAGTAACCGGAGCGAATACAATAAGCTAATTGTTCGTACGAGTCAGAGACCATGCGGTACGCTAATTGTAGTGCGGGAGAAGATAAGATAGACGAAGACAATAAGAGCGGAAATCGGAGAACGGAGATGGAGGAACGGAATCGGAATTCGGGAATGACCTTGGTGGCACGGAACGTGACAGCCTGCCTTCCCGCCCACTCACTCGCCCGCCCTTGCGCCCATGCCCGCAGTCCGCCCGCCCGCTGCGTGTGCCTGCAGGGCATGCACCCGTCGGCTGTGTTTGCACGCAGGGCATTCACCCTGCGTGCTTGCCATTGTTGTGTGCATCGTGTTCTCAGGCATGCGGTCCGTTCGGCATTTGCCCCGCACGCTCGCAGTCGCTGTGCGCGTTGTTGCCAGCTTATCCGCCCGCCCACCTGCCGGTACCCGCTCTCCGCCCGCCCATTTGTGCGCCTGCTCTCCCGCCTGCGCCTGCCTGCCTGCACGTTTGCCAGCCCGCTTTCCTGCCCGGTAGGCTGCTCACTCCGAGCCGCTCGTCCGCCCGCGCTCGCCCGTCGCCTGTCCATCGGTCGGTCATCATACACGTCGTGCAGCAGACTGGTGCTGCACGTTGCTGTGCCCTGTGCTTGCTATTAGCGTACCTGACCGCTGGTGTCGGCACTCACTCACCTTGCCCACGCATCACTTGTATGCCCACCGTGCGTTTGTTGGCCGCAAAGTCACCAGATGCTGGCAGACTCATGTATGAATCCCTGTGCTTAGCACAAATGGATCATACATAAACGCCAGAGCTTACAGTGAGCCTTTATGTATAAAGGCACTGTAATGACTGTAGGCGGGCGCCCCGCTCGCTACCCGAATGGGCAGCTGCCCTTTAGGGACAGCCTAGCTCACCCGGCGCCGGGATGAGCTCGCGGTGGCGGCACCTACCCAAAATAGGTCCTATCGCGCGCTCTTCCAATTTTAACGCCGCTGCAGGCCCGGATCGGGCGAGCACGATCGTGATTTGTGATCTGCAAGATCTCACGCATTCTAGGGCTAGGCATGGTGCCGTATATAGCACGTATGTTGTGCTCCATGACATATGCACTGTGTGTCGCGCTCCGTGACATACATTTGGGACTCTGTTCTCTACAATGCCATTTATTGATTCAAGTCTTGCTGAAGCTTGCGCGAAGGCCTTCCCAATTGGGTATGTTTGAGGACCCGACAATTTGTTACGCGCTGACAAACACTGCGGTTGTAGTGATCATATGTATTCGTACAGGTATCGACAATGTACAGTAAGCTCAGATGCCAACAATATCCCTCGTGAGCAGCGCCACCAGCTCGGCCTCGACGTCCTCCGTGTGCTTCGTCCCGCGCTTGTGCTCCTTTACGACCTGTATGGCGCACTCAGGAACCTGCAGTGGCCCGCAGCTGAGCATTCCCGTGGCTTGCGGAAGGAGCGTGCATGATGGCGAGGGGGTGCAGCAGCCGCGGGCCCGCGAAGGAGTAGCGGAGATCATGCGACTCTCTGTGCAGGACGACAAAGGGCTGGATGTAGTGGATCGTGTGCATGGGCATGGACATACCGCAGCAGCTAGGATGTGGGGTAGGCCTCATCCGCCTGCGCGAGATCGACTCCGTCAAGCCCGTGCGCCCACGCTGATGCAGGCCGTATCTGACAAGCTCCACGCTGTGCTCGCCAAGCTCAGGCTCAGGCTCGCAGGCGTGAACAACAGCTCCCAGGCATGGATGGCGGCTCCCGGGCGTGGACGACGGCTCACAGGCTCCCGGGGCACCGGATGCAGCCCTCGTGCAGCTTCCCATGGATGTCGACACACTCGTCTTTGCGATGAATCGACATGTTAGCGATGGCATTTGGGAAGAGGAAGAGGGGGCGTACGAGCTACAGTCGATGCCATCGATGATCACGGTATGCATGACACCGCCCGTGTAGTCCGCGCGACCTCTACTGGTCGACGCGCTGCTGTTTGTACCCGGTGACACACCGTTTGTGTTTTGTTGACACTCCGCTGTCGTTTGTGTCCACCGACGCAGCCCCATTGACGCACTGTTCGTGCTGGTAAACGCGCCGCTGTTTGTGCTGGTCGATGCACCACCGTCCTTGCTGGTCTGAGGATCGGTCTGAGGCGGGTAGATGGTAGAGTTACAGTATGTATGGTAGCACTTGTGCGGGCGCCCGTAAACCGAACGTTTGTCTCTATTTGTCGCCTCACTAAATTGGGCAAGTCCGATGTGCTCGGGCTGTTCTCAGCCAATCACAACGCGTTTAACGGTCCTACTTAGGCCTGCAACATACGTACGACTCGCCCTCTGAGCGTTTTCGCACTGTGTATGCATGTCTTAAGTATCAGATACGTGTTCAATTGCATATGTTACAACAGATGTGTCGATGCACTAGTACAACATAACCCCAAGTTATCGTGTACAGTAGGGTGCCTGCACTACTACTACTGTAGTACTGTATACTGGTTCTCTGAGTCTCGGCGGTCATACGGAGCGTACTAGCTTGATATATACTGGTCTCATGTTTACGAAATACATTCTTACTCCCATTACATATTCTATACCTACAAACACGTCGGTCGTGTCTACATGCAGGGGCAGCAGGGCAGTCACGCTGTGCGCTCGAAGCTTGCGATTGCTGCACGTTGCGCCCCTGCTCTGCCCGCTGATACGCCTCTAGGCTATCTAAGCCCCGAAAATGCGATCTAGGCCTCTATGATGCTCTGAAGCTCTTAGAAGATCCACTACAACTGTTCGAAGATTTCGAAGTTCGTAGCCAACCCTGGCTCACCTTGGAAGACTATCCACGACCTTCCGGCACCTCAGTGACGCTATAGGAGCACCTACCCACCTATCTAGACAACCCCAGAGCACGCAGGTCACTCGAAGATGCACTATGTGTTAGAAGACACTCGAACATGTTAGAAGACGTGCTACGGTGTTAGAAGATCTCCTGCGAGACCATAGGATGCTACAGGATGTCCAGTGAGTCCTTGCAGGTCGTCTCACATCCTCGACGAGTGGTCTCGGTTTCCGGTGTCATGTGATAGCCGGTCGGCCTTCGGACCACTGGTTAGCGAGCCCGAGAGCAGTTGTCACGTGTTAGAAGCCATAGCCGGATGTTTGGGGCCGTCGGAGCTCCGTAGTGGTAATAGCCGTGTTTCCCTGTATATACTCTGGGACTGGTTCCCTTCGAATCTCAGAGACCCCCTTACCCTCTCAATCTCACCTCGCACCGGCGAGGTTCGTCAGTCAGCCAGTACGTTCGAAGTCAGCAAGTTCGCCAGTCAGTCAGTACGTTCGAAGCCAGTCAGTCAGTTCGCCAGTACGTTCACCAGCTCGTAGTTGCCCCGAGAGGCTCTACACTTCTTCTCCTGCCGTCGCTCGCCTTCCTTGTCACCGTTCGTTCGACACGTCTGTCGAAACCCTCCCTCCTACCTTCGAGGCTTAGCCCTCGTCTTCGAACAGTCTTCGACATCTTCGAAGCTCTCCCACGTCGTTCGGAGTCTTGTCCGTCCTCCTCCTTCTTACCTAGACCACTGTACAGTCCCCCGTACATCTCATAGACGCAGAGGCCTCGCATACCACTGCTCGACCTCACGGTTGGGTTTTTGTGTGGCTTTAGCGTTCTTTTCGGTCGCGTCACCGCCATTGCGGTCACCCGCTTTTCGCTCACGCATCGGCCTTCCGTTCGTCGGCCGTGCTTGCGTGCTGGGCATTCGCCCGGCACGCTCGCGGTTGTCGTGCGTGTAGTGCTCAGCTGCACTCTGGGCCCGCTCGCTTTCCCTCTCGCTCGCTTTCCCTCTCGCTCGCTCTCCCTCTCGCTCGCTCTCCCTCTCGCCCGCCTGCCCTCTCGCCCACCCATTCACCTGCTTTTGCGCGCACCTGCTGGTGCCATTGCCTACCCGCTCACCTCCTTGTCCGCTCACCTCCTTGTCCGCTTGCCTGCTCGTTCTGCACTGCCCACTGGCTCGTCCGCTTGCCCTCCCGCTCGTCCGCCTACCCTCCCGCTCGTCTGCCTACTCTCCCGCTCGCCCGCCTGCCCTCCCGCTCACCCGTCTACTCACCTGCCTATGCGCCGACCTCCCCGCCTGCTCACCCGTCTGCGTGTGCATCGTCGGCTGTGTCTGCGTGCCGGGCATTCGCCCGGCGCGCTCGCGGTGGGCGTGGGCTGTTGCCTGTTCGGAGTTCCGAGTCACTTGCCTTTTTGCTCGCCCTCCTACCCGTCTGCTTCAGTCGCCCAACCGTCCGCTCGTCTGTCCGTCTTCCTAACCGCCCGTCTTCTTACCCGCCCGTCTTCCTGCCCGCCGGTCTGCCCATCCGTCTTCCTGCCCGCCAGTCCGCCTGCCTGTCCATCCGCGAGTCCACCAGTCCGCTTGTCCGCTCGTGCTCGCACCCGTGCACGTTGTCTATCCGTCGGCTGTGTTTCCACGCGGGGCATTAGCCCTACGCGCTCGCGGTCGACGAGTGTGCTGTACCGCAGGTCGCCGCGTCCTGTGGCTACGGTCAGCTCGCTCGCTCATGTGCATCTGCGCTCACCTCGATATGAGCGTCGGCTACATGCTGACCTCGTGTCCGCTGTGCTCTAACGACCGTCGGTCACCGACGCGGGATGGTGGAGGTCGTAAATGGCAGGTGCAAGCGCTCGCCGCTCACTCGGCTCGTTGCGAGCTCCCGGGTTTGGCCGAAGCCGACGCCACACAGCGGGCAGGGCGGCGGCGCAAGGGAATCGAGATCGTACCTAATCTCAGATGAGTAACCCCGATGAGCATCCATATGGGGCAGCCTCGCATCAGCTGCCCCGCCGCGGACGAAGAGACCGGGCCAGGACCGGGCTGCCCCGGCGTGGCTGCTATAACGGGTAACGACCGACGGCGCCTCGCTCATACATGAGCGAGTGGCAGCTCATGTATGAGAGCAGGCCACGGTGGGTACAGGGATTTATGCATGATGACTTTGCACTAACTACAGGGATCTTATACAAAGATATGCCTATATGGCCTGGCAAAGTCGCGTGTTTGGGCTTCTTGCGTTCAGGCGGTGGGATGGCACGAGCACGGTGGGAACTTAGTGTCCCAATGCAGCCCGTCCCGGCGGTTGTGCAAGTGGCAGGTACAGTCCGGGTCACGGGTCACAAAAACGTGACCCGTACCCGTACCCGGGTGAGCCTACTGCACATTACTGAGTGGAACTTGACCGTTTCGAACGGTCCACCCGGAGTGCATTTGGCCCGTTTCTAACAGTGTACCCGGGCTCGGCCGGAGCACTCCGGGTCTACCGTTTGGAGCGGCCGCCGCCAGCAACGAACCAGCCGGAGGGAGGGTGGTGGTTTGGAATGGTCCGGCCGGAGTGTTGGGTAACGTTCCAGCCAGAGCTCTGGTGAACGTACCGGCCGGAGGCCTTGAGAAATATGGGTTTCCTACGGTCCGGCCGGACTGTTATCCAACGTCCCGGCCGGAGCTCTGGTCAACGGTCCGGCCGGAGGCCTCGAAAGATTTAGGCTTCCTACGGTCCGGCTGGACACATACCCAACGTTTCGGCCGGACCTTTGATCAGTGTCCCAGCCGGAGGCCTCAAAAATTTGGGCTCTCAACGGTCCAGCCGGAGCACTCAGCAATGGTCTGGCCGGAGCACTCAGCAATGGTCCGGCCGGCGCACTCAGCAATGATCCGGCTGGAGGCCTCCAAAGATTTGGATTCTCAATGTTCCGGCCGGGACTGGGGGTTGGTTTCTAACCTTCCGGCCAGACCCCAGATGAACAGACCGGCCGGGCTTCTCCAAAACCAGCCAGACCCCTCAGAATTGATCTGCCGGTGATATAACAACAAGAATTGTTAACCCCCAAGCTCAGCTGGAAAATGACCAAGGTTGTATCAACCAAGCTCAATATTTAACCACCCACCGAGCTCAGAGTTGAACCACCGAGCCCAGAGATGAGCCACCAAGCTCGGTATCAAACCACCGAGCTCAGTAGTGAGCCACTGAGCACAGTATTGAACCACCGAGGTTAAACAGCTAGGCTCGGTGGCCGAGAAAAATTGGCCGGGCTCGGCGCCGAGGATAAATGGCCGAGGCTCGGGCCGAGGTTTTGAGCGCCGAGCTCGGTGAAAACCGCCGAGGTCAGTATCAAAGCATTGAGCTCAGTGTTAAGGGGCCCAGTTAAAGGGCCGAGCTGAGTGTTCAATGACCGAGTTTGTTGTTGAAGCACTGAGCTCGGAAATGGCCGAGGTTAAACCACCGAGCTCGGTGAAAAACGGCCGGGCCGTCAGATTGCCATATAAGGAAATTTGGTATCATCTGGTAGCCCTTCATTCACAGAGTACAGTATATGTTCCCTAGTGTACAGAGATGCCTAGTTAGGTCAGAGAATACAAAATAAAAAATGCTCACAGGCTTCTCTGAGAACGTACTATTCAACTCCTGAGGCCAGTTTTCTTTTCCCACAATGTTTGACTATCTCGGTTTTCACCGAGCTCGGCGCTCAAAACCTCGGCCCGAGCCTCGGCCATTTATCCTCGGCGCCGAGCCCGGCCAATTTTTCTCGGCCACCGAGCCTAGCTGTTTAACCTCGGTGGTTCAATACTGTGCTCAGTGGCTCACTATTGAGCTCGGTGGTTTGATACCGAGCTTGGTGGCTCATCTCTGGGCTTGGTGGTTAAATATTGAGCTTGGTTGGTACAACTAACAATTCTTGTTGTTATATTACTAGTGTATCAGGGGTCTGGCTGGGAGAAGCCTGGCCGGTTGGTTCATCTGGGGTCTGGCTGGATGGTTAGAAACTAGCCCGGCCGGACCATTTACAGCCCAGATTTTGCAAGGCTTCCGGCCGGCCGGCCTGTTCACATTGGAAGTTGGGATTTTGCCCGGCCGGACCGTTTCACCTGGGGGCCGGCCAGACGTCCAAAACCAACCCCTGGCCAGGCTGAATCATTGCTGAGTGCTCCGGCCGGACCGTTAGTGATGAGCCCGGCCGGACCGTTGAGAGCCCAAATTTTTGAGGCCTCCGGCTGGGACACTGATCAAAGGTCCGGCCGAAACGTTGGGTATGTGTCCAGCCGGACCGTAGGAAGCCTAAATCTTTCGAGGCCTCCGGCCGGACCGTTGACCAGAGCTCCGGCCGGGACGTTGGATAACAGTCCGGCCGGACCGTAGGAAACCCATATTTCTCAAGGCCTCCGGCCGGTACGTTCACCAGAGCTCTGGCCGGAACGTTACCCAACACTCCGGCCGGACCATTCCAAACCACCACCCTTCCTCCGGCCGGTTCGTTGCTGGCGGCGGCTGCTCCAAACGGTAGACCCGGAGTGCTCCGGCCGAGCCCGGGTCCACCGTTCGAAACGGGCCAAATGCACTCCGGGTGGACCATTCGAAACGTGATTTCCCACTCATTAGGCTCCCTACTGAGTAAGATTTAACGTTCCGAACGTTAAACCCGGAGTGAGATTCGCCCGTCTAGAACGTGGCGGCCGGCGCTGGCCGGAGGGGTCTGGGTCCACGTTGCAGACGTGATCGTTGCCAGCAGTCCGGCCGGAGAGCATGCCGGCCGGTTCGGCCTCGTCGGCAACGTTGCGGCCGGCCCTCCCCTCCTCAAATCCCATCCTGAACGCTTCACCTGGCCTCTTTCCCCGAGTGTTCTAACGCTCTGGCTGGAGCACGTCCCAGCCCACCCCTCACTGCTCAATGCTCCGCCCGGCCTTGCCTGTCAGCAAAACCGGCACCCCGAGATTACATCGGCCACTCGGGTGATACAGTGCCGGACAACCAAAGGCAACAAATTTTGTCGACCATTTTGCCCGCACACCGGAGTCATCGGAAACGATGCAGATATGCTCAAGGAACATTTTGAGCTACCTCCGAGCAAAATACATCGAGCTGTTGTCCCATAAAAGTCAATATACTAGTTTTGACCCCCAAGATATTGGCCAACCCCTAAATCTCGTCCAAAAACCGCCAAAAAACCGCCAATCGACTCCTTTTGATGAGAGGAGTATGATCCCATATTATCGTGGCAATACCAAAAGTTCCGGTGCTTCAATAAATTCCTGAAGTCTCGGTGCTAGTGACTTGCCGCTCGTGGGATATGATTAGTTCGCTTCGTCTTGGCATGCTGTATTCACACTTAGACCGTTTTCAGATAGCATTTGCTTCGTTCTATAGTGCTTAACACTTCACAATCACGATGTTGTTGCACCGGATTACTTGTAAGTACTGGTATTGGCACTATTGGCATATGCTTGAAGTTGTACCCAAGCCCGAACGGACATATCTGATCTGAGTGATTTCGTGCCGCGGCGAAACTGGTATGTTTGCAGTATGTCAATAAGCGAATGATAGTGTCTCCATTTATAGCAGGTCAGTCAAGTTATCAACTATTTACTGTCGATTCGACCAGGCCACCAACCTCTTGATTCATGCTACTTACTGCTGCTGCTAACTAAGTTGTCTACACAAGATATGCGTTCTCAGGTCACTTACGGACTTGCTGCGTGGTCAGGCTGCCCCAAACATCGCGATATGGGACCCTGTAGGGCGCCTAATATGCCGATGAACGACCTCAAAATATTGGCCAACCCAATTTTTCGTGGGAAAAACTTCGGAAGACCATTTTTGTGTGTATTTCGCCTCCCTGAGTCCATTCCTGCAGTCAGTTTGCCCCAAATTTATTCCGATCGGGCGCTACAAAATTTGTTGCCTTTGGTTGTCCGGCACTGTACATTGTCCAAGGGGCTACGCAAATTTTGGTGATAGGACATCATATTGTGATTTCACATCAATATGGATAACTATTGATCTATGCTGCGGGTGGAGGCATCCACTCGTGATCTTATCCAGGGCATGAGGTAGCCTCATGGCAAACGGAAGGTACTGACACCGGCCAGGATCTCGGCCACCCTAGGCAGTCGGTCATTGCACTCCTAGTCTACTGCAACCTGTCCTCTAGCCACGAAAAAAATACTAGGGTCAAGCTATCCATCTGTACAATGTATATACACTACCTCAAGCCAATACAGTACGAACTGAAGGTAGAAAAAATCAGTCTGTACGATGCTGTCCATATATGGTAAGTGCCGAGTGCATATTCTCAACCCATCGACAGTATTCAGCCATTGTGCTTGTATCTCGGGCTGAACAGCTGCTGAACTACTGGGGATATATCTATTGACATTCTGGAGTACATATATGCTGATTCGGATAATATTAAGCCTTGTAGCGGGCCAGCTCTGGCTGCATGGCCGACTTCGTAGTCAATCTGGTTCCCAGGATTCTTGTCACGAAAGTGCTTACTACCTTCGACCCAGTGGTCAATAAATTCTTCTAGCAATTCTCCTGCATACATAGGATGTTCTAACGTGGTCCCAGATACTCACCCAAGCGGTCGAAGTAAACATGGACCCGAAGGCCCGCATCGACTCCTTAGGTGGCCGAGATCCCAGCTGGCGTCAGTACCCACGAGGCCAGTTTTGTGCGGGGATGTCTGGCTGATATATCTCTGTGTTGCCTTGAACCCTTGCGACACTGCTCATTCCCCTGCCTCTGCCTTGTTCATACGATGATCACACCGGAGCAGGTGCGCATCCAGTACTTGTCGTATTTGGACGCAATGTATCTTCGCTTCCTCTCGGCACCGGAATCACGCGCCCCACGTGCTCCACTCCCCGGACTACTCCTTGACGTGTATCTCGTCCGCCAGGCCCGGCGTGCAGCTGAGATGCTTGCAAAGGTGTTCAATAATAGACGTATGTGCCCATAAGCTGTCAGCTTCCATCGTCATTTACTCATTCACGAGCAGTTACTTTGCTGTGGGATGCAACAACTCATCCATGTGCCGTCCCGGACGATGATGAATTGGCCACGGTGCAATACAATGATTGTGCAGATCCGCTCACCATCGAAGACAGTAAGGGCTGGATGCTGTTGTGGCATCTTCCCGGTGTGATCATAGAGCCCTTTGAGGTACGCCGTAATCCAGAGGGCTTTTGCCGACTGTCTCTAAAACAATACATAAATACAAGGGTGTAATATGGGATGCGACGATGGACCTCAACCCACTCTTGGCCCGGAACCGCCCGAAGGCTAGCGCGGGCTGGAGGGAAAATATTGCGAACTTCCGGCAGCCGCAGGAGGGGGACGAGCTCGTCCCGGCATGTGTGTCGTTTTCACCGGGATGGTTCCAGCTGGGACACGACGTACGTATTGCAATAGGCTTTTGACATTATTTCTCTCACAAAGAGCAGGGCGCGGACAATGTGCCAAGTGTCTCTCGGCTGCTCGCAGATCCAAACACTGCCCTCGCTGGCCGGGCGTGGTTGGCCGAGATGATCTATCTGCATATCATCATCTCCGGTATGCTGCACATTATGCACCCGGATTTAGAGCCCATCTAGCTAAACTATCCATTGTTGCCCGGCCACCCAACATGAGATTCACCTATTGTTGCCCGGCCACCCGACGTCGGCCGACGGTCTGACTCGGCTTTGTTGTCCGGTCGGCCGAGGCATCAAACAATCAAAATCCGCCTGGGCGGCCGACAAGGTGCCATTATCCCCCCGGATTATCCAGCAGGTGATGCTTGCATTGTTCCCGGAGCGGCCGACACTGGACAAATGGTATCCTCCCCGGGCGGCCGAGGGTCAGAAATACCAATCCTGCTGGGTCGGCCGATGGTCATACAATGCAATCCTGTCCGCCCGGCCGACATCAGAAATCTGCATACACAGCGGGTCGGCCGACAGGCTGTGTTCACTCAGGAATTGCATCCATAGCAGGTCGGCCGGCCACAGGATTTTGGCTTCTGAGGACAACAGGTTTCCGAGGTCGGGCTTCCCAGACTGGGCTTCCGAGCCCGGACATCCGACACCGGACATCCGACACCGGACGCCCGCCACTGGACGCCCGCCACCGGAAGCCCGCCACCGGACATCCCGGGTCAGGCATCTGGGACCGGGTGACTGTGCTTTTAGGATGCTCTTCAGTGGATTCATTAATCAAGCAGTCCCTATGTGCAGAACAATGTAAATGTGATGCACTGATTGATTTCCGAGTATTTCCTTCCCAATCTGGATACCTCCTTCCTAATCCGGACTGGGTAGACCATCCGGATGTGCATAGCTACCACCGGAAGTCTGAAAACATTTTTTGAACACTTCCTGTGTACAGGACAGTGCAAATGCACTCTGATTGGCAAAGTGAATGATTTCCGGACACTGCCTGCCAATTCCGGACACCTCCTTCCTAATCCGGACCGGATGGTTCTGTCCGGCTTCGGACGCCCGCCATCGGACGCCCGACACCGGACGTCCGAGCTCGGAAGTCCAGATTTATTAACTACATACTTCATGTGTGCAGAAATCATTTTCCGGTGTGTAAGTGGTCAAGTAATCATTTGCTGAACATTGCCTTCCAAATCCGGACTGTCCGCTTCGGGCGCCCGAGCTCGGACACCCGACGTCGGACGCCCGAGCTCGGACACCCGACATCGGACACCCGACATCGGACACCCGAGCTCGGAAGCCTGAGAAGTCCGGATTTATTGACCACACACTTCCTGTGTGTAGAAATCATTTTCCAGTGTACAAATGCATTCCTGTGGTCAAGGAATTGTTTGCTGACCATCTCCTTCCTAATCCGGACCATCCGGATTCGGACACCCGAGCTCGGACACCCGACATCGGACGTCCGAGAGCGGAAGTCCGGATTTATTCATTAATCACTTCTGCTGTTTGTTTATCACTTTCTGGTGTGTAATGGCTTTCCTATTGTCAATGTAGTGACATTCTTGTGTGTCCTTTCAATTCAGACTGTCTATTGACTTTTACCAGTGAGCTGTTACTGGCAGCATGCCAGTGTGTCTGCTACTGTGAGTTGTTGAATCAGAGGTTGTAATGTAGTTCCCTTGATACAAGATGCTATCTGGATTCAGTAGTGTGTACCCTTGTCTGTTGTCAATATAAGACTAGCAACACTATGTCATGAGGGAACAACAGAACTATGGATGAGTTAGTGTGTGTGATTTGAATATGGACTTAGGTAATAGGTATACAGTTCATCAGTAACATGACAAAGAAAATGAAATATAGTCATGTATTAGAATAATGCTACATGGAATAATGACCCTGTAGTACCCAAGGTATATGGGAGGGCTATTGCATGAGAAGGTTCACAAAAGTTTGCATTGCCTTAAATGGTGAGTAACCTTCCAAATCCAGTAATCCTTCATAAAGTGGATGTGTAGTGCTTCATATTGACCCTGTAGTACCCAATGTGTATCAGGCTGTCAATGACAGTTCACTTTCATTGACTGTTAAGAACAGCACCATGTAGACTCTAGTATGAGTAGTTCATTGGAGTAATACAGTAGTGTGATGTGTATGCTATTTTGCTTGTGGTGTTGCAGTAACTTCAAGATTGATGTTGTAGCATTGTTTTGTATGCTTCACAATGCACTCACATTCCTCTTATCTTTGCCTAGCTTTCAGCTTGGGTGAATAAGACTATTCCTTTGGAAGACTCACTCCTTGTGTGTAAATGACCCATTCTAGATAGTCAAACATTGTTTTGAATGTAGTTTGGCTGCAGGCAGTGAACATGTTATGGCACATATTCCATACACTACACAATTCCTTATCTCTGCTCCTGCATTCAGCTTCAAAGAATAAGACTATTCCTGTTGGGGATTTGCTCGATACTTTGAAAGAACACATTCTAGATAGTCAGATATTGTGGGCAAACAATATTGGCTTCAGAAGTTGAATAGTATGTTTGGAAACAAGCCTGTGAGTAAATCTTGCATTGCATGTTGTAGCCAAAGTAAAGATCCTTAGACATTAGGAACTCAATACTAGAGTCTATGAATGAAACACTTTTACACACCAGAAAACAACTTCTGCACAACAGAAGTGATTACTGAATAAATCCGGACTTCCGCTCTCGGACGTCCGATGTCGGGTGTCCGAGCTCGGGTGTCCGAATCCGGATGGTCCGGATTAGGAAGGAGATGGTCAGCAAACAATTCCTTGACCACAGGAATGCATTTGTACACTGGAAAATGATTTCTACACACAGGAAGTGTGTGGTCAATAAATCCGGACTTCTCAGGCTTCCGAGCTTGGGTGTCCGATGTCGGGTGTCCGATGTCGGGTGTCCGAGCTCGGGCGTCCGACGTCGGGTGTCCGAGCTCGGGCGCCCGAAGCGGACAGTCCGGATTTGGAAGGCAATGTTCAGCAAATGATTACTTGACCACTTACACACCGGAAAATGATTTCTGCACACATGAAGTATGTAGTTAATAAATCTGGACTTCCGAGCTCGGACGTCCGGTGTCGGGCGTCCGATGGCGGGCGTCCGAAGCCGGACAGAACCATCCGGTCCGGATTAGGAAGGAGGTGTCCGGAATTGGCAGGCAGTGTCCGGAAATCATTCACTTTGCCAATCAGAGTGCATTTGCACTGTCCTGTACACAGGAAGTGTTCAAAAAATGTTTTCAGACTTCCGGTGGTAGCTATGCACATCCGGATGGTCTACCCAGTCCGGATTAGGAAGGAGGTATCCAGATTGGGAAGGAAATACTCGGAAATCAATCAGTGCATCACATTTACATTGTTCTGCACATAGGGACTGCTTGATTAATGAATCCACTGAAGAGCATCCTAAAAGCACAGTCACCCGGTCCCAGATGCCTGACCCGGGATGTCCGGTGGCGGGCTTCCGGTGGCGGGCGTCCAGTGGCGGGCGTCCGGTGTCGGATGTCCGGTGTCGGATGTCCGGGCTCGGAAGCCCAGTCTGGGAAGCCCGACCTCGGAAACCTGTTGTCCTCAGAAGCCAAAATCCTGTGGCCGGCCGACCTGCTATGGATGCAATTCCTGAGTGAACACAGCCTGTCGGCCGACCCGCTGTGTATGCAGATTTCTGATGTCGGCCGGGCGGACAGGATTGCATTGTATGACCATCGGCCGACCCAGCAGGATTGGTATTTCTGACCCTCGGCCGCCCGGGGAGGATACCATTTGTCCAGTGTCGGCCGCTCCGGGAACAATGCAAGCATCACCTGCTGGATAATCCGGGGGGATAATGGCACCTTGTCGGCCGCCCAGGCGGATTTTGATTGTTTGATGCCTCGGCCGACCGGACAACAAAGCCGAGTCAGACCGTCGGCCGACGTCGGGTGGCCGGGCAACAATAGGTGAATCTCATGTTGGGTGGCCGGGTAACAAACCGACATTTTGACCCCATTATGTGGGATTTATATGATGCCGGTATTGCCTTGGTTGAAGCCTTGCGAAGCGATCCAGACTGGGCCAGCGTTGTGGATATGTGGCAAAACCCATTCAATGCGCTCTTGGTGGTGACAAACCGCGCAAGCCCGGTTCATCGCGACAAGATGACTCCTCTGAATGTCTACAACATTTTGATGACCATCAGGGGTGATCGCGAGCAGGTCATCCAGTTCCCGACATTGCATCTCAGGCTTCCCTATCACAGTGGTACAGTGACAGTGTTTTCGGGCACTCGGCTCCCCCATGAGGTTCCGCTGTCATCTGCAGAGCGGTTGTGTGTAGCATATTTTATGCAACGGAATGTACATCGCTGGGCAAATGTGCCTTCTGCCGGTTGGCACAGCACTGGAGAATGAGCAGGACTGGGAGGCGGGGGGTGTCGTTAGGCACGGGAAATGGCTGGAAATTTGGCACTCCGTAGCTATACGTTTCCGGGTCCATAACCAATCTATGTTCTTTGCTCATCGCAATATGCTCCAATGCGCATAACCCACACCGAGACATTCCGTAGGTTCGACCGGGGAAACACAGGCACAACTCGGTAACATCAACATCGCAGTGGTGCAGCAACACAACATTAACATATCAGTACATGACAGTCTCATATGATACCACATTGGACACTACTTCGGCGCAGACGCAGTGGCCGGGGCCCTTGGAGTCTCACCGCACTGCCATGCTTCCAACTCGGCGGCATTCGCTCGTGTGGCAGCATGCCAAAAGTTCAGCTCGGCCTGGATATAAATATCCATGACTTGCATCGCCTTGCCCAATTGCTGCAACCACTTCATCGCATCCTTTGGTATGCTCGCCCGCATTGTACATCAGGAAAAACGGATCTGTCTTGGGCGGCATTACAAGAGATATCAGTCACGTGAAAGGCCTTCAAGACGTCGGGCTAACTTGAGAGGCAGTTAAGACAAGAAGCCATCAATTTCATCATGTCTGACTTGAGGCGCAGTTACTTGTAGTACAATTACCTTTGACTAATGACCAATACACTTATATGCCCTCACTTTTGCATTTTCACTCCTCACAAGTCTGATTCAATAAAGAATACTACGGTACAATACAATCATCTGTAGTGAGGCTCCTGCAACTGTATCTAGTCACACATAGCTCGTGGCCACTCACTCTGTGGATGAGTGCCTGGTGGTTGGCATGACAAGTGATTGCTCATCCATGCCGAGTCCACAGGTCCATGACGGCCATCAAACTTGGTCCATTGCCAACTTGAAGTGGGTGCGCAGATGAGTGATTGTTTGCGTGGGTGAGCCGGTCGCTACTAGCCGGCCGAGCAGGGGGAGGGCGCACGCAAGAGTGCAGGCGAGAGAACGTAGCCGAGCACGCGGGTGAGCGGGTGAGCGGGTGAGACAACGGGCGAGCTAGAAGGTGGGACAGCAAAGATGGCGCACGGAGAGACAACGGGTCAGCCGGCCCATGACTCTGCGCGCGCGTCGACGTCCCTGTGTCCGGACATACTTGAGCTGGACAATGGTCAGTGCACCTCCGCCCATCGTCTAGCCTTCACTCACCTAGAGAATGTGGCTCTTGATTTCTCTGTCTGCCCGCCGTCTACTCCCCTCTCAGTCCCAATCCTATCCCATTCACCACTGCTGCCCGAACGTGGGATGTCCGGCACCGTGGGCGTAGGTGAGCACCGCTACGGTCATGTCAACACCGCCACGTACCGAGCCCAGCCAATGCTGATGTACAACACAGAGCTGTTGAAGTGAAGAGGTTTAGAAGGGCTTGTTAGGCCAGTGGAAGTGAAGGACAGTAGAGTGGAGTGAACAGACCTATCCCAGAGGGAAGACTCTGATGCTAGGCAGGCAGAAAAGAGGAGAGATCGTTATCCATTAGGGGGAATCACCCCAGTATATATACATGTCTGGGACTGATCACATGCTACATCAGTAAGCAGATCAGTAATCACTAAGTCCGAGTTTTAGGGAAATGAGTAAGCCTTAACTCCAGAGATAGGGATATGCATAAGCATCCATGTGATCAAGGAATGTACTGGAAGGTCATGGAACATGCCGGAAGGGAGTGGAATGATCCAGAATAAGTCTGGAACAGTGTAGATCGGTCTGGAGTGAGTCACAAGATGAGTCCAGACAGAGTCCATCAAAAGAATGTATGTAATACTACATCGCAGAACACAAGTCCATATATGTACGTAACTGATAAGATAAGATAACACTGGAAAGTCGGAAGTTCAACAAGAGCCCCGCATCCCGGCGGAGATGATCTCTGCGGCGCACGGTGAGTCGGACAACGCAAGTACATACCGTGATGCAGCGCGCATGCTTCTTTCCACTGCAGACCGATCAGGATTGACAACAGGAGGATGACAGCCCATGCTGACCCGTCGATGCGCCACTGCACGGGCACTAATGACGTCGACAGGATGATCAGGCCCGCCGTGAGCACAATGCAGATCGTCCACGGTACCCAGAACCTCTTGAGGATCTTCGGGATGTCCTCGAAGAAGATCGACCGCTTGACCTCCTTCTTCGCACCCCATGAGATGTTGTGTGAGAACAGGTGGGCGATAATCGCCTGGCTGACAGGGATCGACAGACCACCAAAGAAGAAGCTGCACAATACGTCAGTCCTCAGCCACGACACAATCACTATGGACTTACAAGTATGGAATCCACATAACGTTGATGAGGAAAGACTTGATCAGCGGTTCCTCACCCAGACGGTACTGGAGTAGAGTGTAGCCGCCGGAGCCGATGAAGACTACCGTCGTCGCCAGCCAAATCTCGAACCGAGTGCATGTAGTAGCCGTCAACGGGAAGCTCGAAGCCGAGGCAGATGTAGTTGATGACACTGATCGTGATCGAACACGCGATACCGTAGTACGAGAACATGTACGACATCATCGAGAACTTGTAGTGCAGCAGCGCGACCAGAGGAACGAGTGGATCTCCCTCGCGATTGGGCCCTGGCGCCACACCACCGAGCTATGGGGTTGATTGGCAGTTCGTTACAGGATCTTGTCCGCATGGTCTTGAATGAACCGGCGTCCTGGACGGCCCTCCAGCAGAGGAACACGTTGTGCCCGACGAACGGCGCGACCTCGCCGTACGCGTGCACGTTCGCGCATGCGTACGAGATACATTTGTTGATACGCCGGTGAAGTACGCGAAGCAGTGATGCGCGACCTGCATGATGTCCGACTCGTGCTGGATGACACCGACATGTCCGAGTTGACGATCAGGATGATCTCGCCAACACGGCACGCACGTCCCCACGTCCGTTAGCGGCCCAGGGGCGGAACTTGCGGCCGCTCGACTTGTACACCTTGTTGATGGCAATCTGCAGCGCGTGCTCCCTTCCGAGTTCATCTTCTCGTCGTCCTCGAAGCCGACGACGCTGGCGTTACTGCCGTCCCAGTGCTGGTACTGCATGCCGTAACACTGCTCTGCCTCATGACCGAGTGAGTCCTCTTCTGGGGCCGCGCTCGTCTCCGCAATGAGTGAGAGCCTCAAACCGTAGTTCATGTTCGAGGCTTTCTTGAACCGACCCGCACGCTGGAACCGTCCGGCGCATCATCAAGCTTCGGCCGCGCGACCCAGCCAATGCCGTGGTTGGCGTAGAATGCTATGCGTGTGTCACGCTCCTCGACCGAGAGCAACTGTCACGCAGGCATCAGCGACCCGCACAGCAAGCGTACGTCGGAACTCACCCTGAGACCATCGTCGTTGACGAGTATCATGGACGCATCACCTTGCCGGGCATACGTCTGCATCGCGGTCAACAATCGCACAGCTCATAAGCCCGAATGGGAACTCACAAGACAGTTTCCAGAGACTCCTTGTACACCGGCATCTCAATCGGCAGGCCGTTCTCCACGATCTTGTTCGGCCAGGGCTTGATGGCGGAATAGTACCTTGAGTGTTCGTGGTACTGCGCAATGGGACCGTGGGTACCAGGGACGCCGGTGTGCCCGGTGCTAGTGGAAGTATAAGTATGTGGACGGCCGCGACCGAGCCGAAGGGCGACCGAGAGGGCGAGTGAGAGGGCGAGAGAGACAGACGGCGAGTGAGATGACGCGAGACAGAGGGCAGACAGGGCGAGAGGGACGTCAGGCAAGGGCGGCAGAGTCAGAGCGAGGGCGCAAGCGAGCGGGCAGACCGATGAGGGTGTGTGGGCATGAAGGAGAGGGCATACAATAGATTGGTTACTCAACGTTGCCTACACTCTACCTAGGCTGCGCTCCCCGCCTGCGACTTTTCGACTTCCCTGCAGTGGGACGTGCTGGCCGCCCACTGTCCCCTTTGCCCTCCGCCTTGCCTGCCCTCTGCTTCGCTTTCTCTTTCCGGGCGTCGCTCACCCGCCCACCGTCCTCCTTGTCCTTCTTGCACCGCTTGCTGGTACGAGGGACAGGGTCGTCTGCCGAGCGGCGCGTTTTGCGACGGTAGGCTGTAAGGTGTTAGAAGATGGTCCTTTGCGAATACTCAGTACTCACCGTGACCGTGCTCGAACTGGACGCCCCGTTACTACGCGCCTCATCGTCTTCGCTGTCCGACGGCACCTCAATGACGACGCGACATGCGGCACGTCGCTGGATGGGGGGAGGAGGGAAGTGTGAAAAATCCATCGTGTTCTTGTATCCGCAATATACTAGACCGTCTTCTTCGAGCTTGGTGCTATGCACCTTGCTCTTATTGACGTCGGCGCGGAAGAAGCCAACGTACTGAACGTCGTCTCAGCAGGCTGGGGGTGAGCCCCAGGCATATCTAGTGTAAGTCATGTAGAAAGCCCAGAAGCATAGAAGAAAATGGTGACGCACCGGTGTCAGAGGTTCACGTCGATGTGTGCAGGAGACAGAGGATGCGGCACTCCTCTGGTCGAGTTGAGCTTTCAGATCTAGATCTCGATCTCGATCGCATGCATGACCTCACCTGTCACTGTCAGTGGGCCGTCAGTCAACTTTCACCACCCGTCCGCCTTCTTGTGCCTGCACATCGTTGTACAACCACACTAGTTTGGGCTCGCGCCGCGTATGTATTATTTCCAAGTAGTTCGTTCAATAAACTACGTTGCTGTGCCGCCTCGTATTTCCTTTCCACAGAAACCGTATCACCATATAGTCTGGTAAGCATACTTACTAGACCAGTTGTTCAATACGAATTTTGAGGTGCAGTCAAGAACCGTGTCTGATTTCCAGTCATCAGGAACTGAACGCTGAGGGAATCCGATGACGATGGGCTGGGGAAGCGGGGAATTAACTGGCACGATTGGCGAATGGAACTCAAGGGTATGACGTCTCCTTGTGGTTTGCCGTTGGATGGCAGAGGAAGCTTGTTCACGTCGTACATCATGTGTACTGGGTTTGCCATTGAACCCAGCTTCCCGTACCACTCCACGTAGGCTAAAGGCCCCTCCTGGGCCCACTCCTCCGGTGCTTCCATATCCAGGTTTGTGGTAGGATCGCGTATGGTTTTGGGAAGCTGAAAAATAACTCTCAGTCTTCCGACGCGAGTCCCTGTATTGTACAACTGTTAGTTAGGGTTCTACGGCGGTCAGAAAACTAGTGAGTCCTACCTTGTAATCCTGTGGCTTCAGCCTCGTCGCTGCGCAATACAACAACAGTATCGAATCTTGCTGGCTTGTCTGCTGAAGAAGGCCTGGCCTTGACGCCATCCTTCTCTTCGGCGTTGTCGTTGAGTGGAATGTTGTTGAACTTGAACCCGTGGAAGACGTCCACTCGGCCGAATGGTAGGTGACGGTTCGCCCGGTCCTGCTCTCTAGGGCGGAGTCTGCGCTGTAGTTTCATAGTATAGACGTACTGCGAGACGGCGTCGGTGAAGCCCGGTGCCGCGTGTTGTTCCTCGATGGAAGGTAAGGATTGTTGAGCTAACGACGGATGTTTGGCTAATTTGATGCGTGTTTTGCTGCTGCGAGGGAGGTGCGTACTGTCGTCTTCAGAGTTTGCGGTGCCAGTAGTACTCTCCGAGGCAGACACTGCTTGCGGGTCTGCAGACTGGTCCGTACTAAGTCTGCCGCGAAGGGTGTCGTACATAGAAAACTTCTCCCTCCTGTCGAGCCACTTGATCATCTGCGGGCGAGCGTTGCGGTGGTTCGAGACTCTCCACGCCTTCTTCGCACAATCAATGTGCAACCGCTCAAACATCTCGGTGTTGAAGTTGTCGGTCATGCCGAGCCTGCGGATAGAATCTACGTAGTGTAGAAGGGAATGAACTTTCGGTATGTTCAGGTGCTCCCGAACGCCGAGTTCCTCCAGTATATGCTTGTTGTCGTGGAACATTTTGAGGGCGTCTTCCATGTATCCGAGGGTAGACTCGTCGTGAGTGGGATACTGGGAAAGGTATATGAAATTGAGCAGCGAACGGAAGGTGAGCATTGCAGCCCTGGGTATACGGCCAACGAGGCATCTGAGGAGAATGCGTGCGATGTCCTTCCGCTCGCTACCGGAAACCTGAGAGAGGGCGGATATCCCGGTCTTGAAATGACGGGTGCCGTACGCCGGAGGGAGGCAGCGAATGCGACGGTCGAGTTCCTTCTCTCCGATGAGTTCGGTGGACCACTCCACTATATGCGTGAATACGCCTTGATAGAGCTGGTGAAGGACGTCAGGCGTGATGCAGGAGTGGATGTCGGTGTACGGTAGTCCCTCCAGAAAGGTTTGATGCAGTAACCGGAGACGTTGAACTGCTTGCAAGACTTGGAGAAGGCTGTGGAGCCTCTCTCGCCTTGCTGACGAGCTTTCCGTAGCACGTCCAGGGTCCAGAGCTGGGCGCGAGGCGTCTTCGCAGACGCGTCCCCAAGGCCGCTCTCTGGGCACTGGCAGATGGGGCAAGTCCCGTACTTGGTACAACTGACCAAGCACTGCTCCGGGTAGTCCGCGACGTAAGACGCCAGGATCGGATGAACCCTGCGCACATTTCCGTCGCCACCCGTCACATCAATTCCCTCCTTGCCTGCGTCGACGAGAGGCTGGAGGATGGTGCGCACCGAAGCGTGGAAGAGCTGTTGGACCAACACTCTCCGCTTGTTCTCGGTGATGCCGGCGGAGTCGACCTTATCCACGGAAAGGTACCGATGAGTATGCAGGCATGTTCGGAAGGCTTACGACGAAGCTCCTTGGGGATGTTGCCCAGGGTCATGTAAACAGGGTAGGCGGATTTGTTCCCTGAGAACTGCGTGAGTTGTGTCTTGTCAGTCGAGATAATGACTGGCGCACCGCAGTGCCTGCTGGTAAGATACTCTAGAATCTTCTTCAGCACCCCGTAGGATTTCTGTGTTGGTAGTGCTTACCTGGATTGCGTGCCACCATTGACCGGTCCACATCTCCGTGTAAATCCGGTTAGTGCGCGCAGAGTTTGAGAAGATATGGCTAGGTCGATACACGATTTGATTCGCATGAGCTGGGTTTCCTAACAAAGCCTTGATTGCCTCGATGATGTCGTGGTATTGCACCAAATGGTGTTCGCCCGGACGATCCTTGAAGGTCAGCCAGCATTCCTTCCAGGACAACCTCTCAGGGATGGAGTCGACCTTCTGAAGCAAGGCTCGGTTGTTGTGATATGTGAGTCCGAGCCTCTCTTGCACCTGTTATTTAATTCAGTTTATCTTACCAACCCGATGGAACTGCACTTACTTCTGGTATTCGTAGAAAGCGGTCTACCGCGCCCTGCCCAATCCCTTCCTTGACGAACCACTTCGTGATCTGCCAGTCCATCTCGGACTCAAACGGGGCCCACACTGCATTGACCCGTGCTAGTACATCTTCATCGCCTAATATTGATTTGTCAGGTTAGCACGGTGCAGAATAAGTCGAAACTCACTGTGTCCCTGCCCTCCCAAGCTATTGAAATGCTCTCTCCACGACTCTCTTATTGTTTCTGCAGTCCCTATAACCTTTCCAGCACTCCTATCGATATCCTCTACCCTTTCGTCGTCATCTTCGTCAAGCGAAAGGGCGGTACGTCGAGCGGGCGCCGGTGCTGACGATGTCGATGCTACAGGCTGGCTGGGATCAGGTAACGGAATGAATTGGTACTGTTGGTCTCGCTCATCCTCTTCCTCGGACTCTTCACTGCTATCCGCATCTGCATCTCTGTACATATCGTCAGAAATTATAATGAAGTGCTGCCAGAATTATGGAATCTCACCTGTTCACCGCATCACCAGCCTCAGCCTCCTCATCTGAGGAGTCCATTATGTCCGTTTCCTGAAGACACTCCCTCAGTTTTCCCTTCTTATACCAGGTGCATTCCCGGCTCGTAGATTGGTGAGCCATTAGCCCTTGCACGGTGTCGAACCCACCGCCGCATGCGTCGCATGTCTCTGCCAGCACGGCGTACAAGTGTCTTGATTGCTTTACCATGTCTTATGAGTCTCTACGGTCTTTCAGTACGTGATTCTCAGCCAGACAAGCTTCAAAAACTCACCGAACGACACTGAAGCCACAGCAAAATTCATCAAAGTCGGTGTCTCTCAGGAAATGACTCAGAAGGTTACTGCAGGACACAACACTTCATGGCCACCGACCCTGCACGCCGACCCTGCGCGCCGTTACGTTACGTTGTCGCGGGGACTTCCCTGCCTTGGCGGCAAGTCCGCACTGACAGCGCCAGATTGATGGCTCCCGCGGATCTGGCTGTCCAGCGCGCTTCTCGAGTGGCTCACGCACTTTGCACGCAACACACATACTCTTACTGGTGCTCTCTCACTATACCTACCCAGTAAGTTGTTCAGTTTGTCGGTCCGTCTGGTTACGTTAATAAGATCTGCTTGATTCCAGTAAATTGCTGTGCTACGGCTTGTGAACCTGTTTGAGCGACGTCAAGTAGTGTTTACAAAGGTGAGTGCTCTTCTCTTACCTGTTCCCATCCACCCAACCTCTGCGCCCGCTTTGCCTTCGGGGCGTTCCGAGCTAGGAGACTTCCTTATCGGGGCGCGCGGCCTGACCGCGCGCCCCGATAAGGCAACGGGGACTTAACAGACTTAACGCTCAGGGCCGGCCCTGACCCTTGAGATTCGGTGGGTCTTGTAGGCGCCGGCGCAGACGGTATACAGTATGGGTGGTTAAGATACTGAGTACTGGTCTGCGCGGTCCTGGAGGAGTGCCTCGGCAGCCAAAGTACGTGTCGGAATACCTATCTGCCCGTCCCGACAGTCCCGTTCAACTCCGGTCACTTGACGCGAGGTTTAATAGTAGTGATTCTCCTTCCCATGCCCTATCCCTCGTGCTGCAGGGTCTCTCGTGCTTCTGTCCTCATGCCTCCCCCTCACTCTCCTACCTTCCAGCCCCTAGGCAGCTTCAGGGACCTCACTATCGACGACTGGTCCAACTTGGGGGACAGTCGCCACCTCTCCAACAAGTACTCGTCTGGCGTGTCACCGACGAATCATACCTGGAACTTCAGCGACTTAGGTAAGTGTGATTCTACTTATCTTTTCGTTGTACTAACTCATGACCTCCTCTAGCACCGCCGTCCTCTCCCCCCACCAGTGTTGACGACGAGGACTACGTGAAGGCTGTGCGGCGCTGGCCTTTTGCCAGACGAATATTCGGCAACCTCTTGGAAGACAGGGACTTCCCGGCGTTGTCCGACGTTTTAATAGAGGTACTTGCATACGGTGACACCAACCGTACCTAGCTGACGATTTTCAGACTCCCAATTTCCAGCCGGAAGATTGGGATCTTCTTCGCTCAAAATTGCGAGACAAACCTGAGATTCTGCGTCATTTTTGGTGAGTTACATGTATGCTATCGTGTATGTCATTCTCACTACAATCCTGATACTCTAGGTTCCGTTACGACCGTAAGATGGCGACCATTGTGGCTGGTTCTGCAAGCGGTCTGCATCAAGACGTCGTGCTGGGATGCGCCAGCACCGTAGTCGAGGACATCATCAAGCCGGTGGTTGATCAGGTGCGCGTACCTGGGACGTTGGTGACGCAGAACGGCGCAAGGCTGCTAGTTAGGGAGGACCACATAGAGGTCCCTGACTGCATGGTAGGACTCTTCAACCAGGCGAAAAAGAACAAGCTCTGCATCAACCTGAACAGTGACTGCGTACTCATTGAGTCGGTGAGAACACAAAGCGCACCGCATGTGCTTGCAAAGGTGAGCTTCATCTCCACCGGTAACCCTACCGTCTAACCAGCCTGCAGGTCACAGACAACATGACGGCGTCCAATACCTCGGAAAGCGTGGCGGGACACACCTACGTGCGTCAGATGGCATCGGTGGCAGGATCGGAAGGTGAAGAGACGGAGGACGGGATGCAGACGCAGACGGACGATGAAGACGGGACGCAGATGCAGACGGATGACGATGACGGGACCCAGACTCAGACGGAGGACGGGGACAACAACGGGACACAGACACCGGCAGGCCCTGAGACGGAGCACGCAGGCGAGGAACCGTCCTCTCCTCTCACTCCTCTACCGGACGTGTCCTCGCCCCTATCGCCCCTCTCCGACGCATCCTTTCCATCTCCCCCTCCCCTGCCACCCCCCGTGGCGCCTCTCCCCCCCCAGCGAGGCCAGAAGATCTCGTCCGTTGTCTTCGTGGTCGTCTCCACGCAGGAGAAGGCCGTCAAGAAAGCTCCCCCCGGTGTGGACATCAACAAACAAGACTGGGTCGAATTACCCTGCCCGGACGACGACTGCATCACGGGAGGCATCGCTTATGGAGGTAGGATATACGTAGGGGAAATACGTGCGTACATGTGGGTTTTACAGGGCGCAGAGGACCACGCGTACCTCGCGAAGCACTGGAAGGATGACCTGGAGGAGTGGGTTAGAAGCGGGAAGGCCCTAGTAAGTGCTCATAGTCCCTTCTCAGATGAAAAGTGCTTACTTGCACCAGCTTCTTCGCAGGAGGTACGCCACTGATGAGCAGAAGCAGGCGCTCAGGCAGTGGGAAGCGAGATGGCGAGAGTGTATGCTGTCTGTACGACACAAGGTCCTCCACAACCTCATCATCGCAAAGTCAAGCCAATGCACCCCCGTGGAACTCGTGGCGTTCGAGGAGAAGATCGACAAGCTACCGGACCTCAGCCTGCCGCCCATCAAGAGCCCGGTGGGAGTAGTTAGGGCCCTGGTCGGCTCCGGGAGCTGGCGATTGGCGGAGGAACGGTACGCCAAGGCCACGAACACGACTACCCAGTACTCGTTCGACGGAATTGTCGGAAGCCGGAAAGAGGCGTTCAAGGCAGGGGCGTCTCTCAAGAGGGCCCTTGACGAGGGTGACATTGGACGGGCTAGAAGGGCTCTCAAACGGCGTCACCTCGACACCGCGCTCGTCGACAAGAAAAGTTCTTTGACGGACTCCGACTACCTGGGCTCTGCTGACGGCTCGAGCGACCCGATACCGAGTGACCCCCTCCGTGATCCGTCGTTCAATCCCGACGTGGACGACGGCCATTACTCTCAAGACAGCAACTACGGCGAGTCGTCTCAGGGGTCACAGCAGGGGTCGTCGCAGCAGGAGTCATCGCGGGGTAACGACTCGTCGCAGGATGACGACGAATCGTCGCAGGATGCCGACGACTCATCCCAGGATGCCGATGAATCATCGCAGGATGAGAATGACGCGGAATCATCGTCGCAGGGTGAATTGAACTCCTCACAGCTTGACGCTGACTCACAGGCCAGCACTGGTTCTGAATGAGCGTACTACTTGCCGCTGAAGAACATAGATCCTGGCAGTTGGCTCATCCTCGTGTTGTCGTCCCGTTTGCTCATTGTATTCGCTGTGTTCGCTGCTCGCTGCTCGTTGTGTTTGCCGCTCATTGTATTCGCTGCCCGTCGTACGTCGTATTCGCTGCCCGTCATATTCGCTTATTCGCTGCCCGTTGTGTTTGCTGCTCGTTGCTGCGTGTTGTATTCGCTGCGCAATCGTATTCGCTGTGCATTGCTGCTCGTCGCATCGTTGTAATTGTAATTTTAGCTACTCTCTCATCTCTACTCTCGCCCCTTCAGCCCCGTCCTTCGCACATTCATAATATATGGAGATTCTTGAGACTACATGCCATCCTGCACTGTCTGAGCCCAGGGGGCACTTGCACGCCAAGGTGCTAATTCGCTGGCCCGCCTAAATTAGGACAGCCGTCGTCCGGTGGCTTACCTCGGCAGACTGCAGTGGATGTAGTTGACGCCTTAACATTCCTCTGTCCGTCCGTTATGCAGCTCACTCCGGAAGAACAAAGGGATCTAGAGGAGTTGTTGTCACGCACCCCTAGTCTCAACAAGAATCTCACGTCTCTGCTACGAAGACTTCAAGACCAGCAACCCACCGCACAGCTTGCTGAACACCTGACTGACTGTCAGGAAAGACGGTCAAGTCTTGACAGGCTGGCTGACGTTGCGCGTGAGTTTAATGCCAGTTCTACCGTTCTCGCTGAACAATCAATTTTTACAGTGAGTCAGGAGAACACGTCACAGTACCTTGACGACGCAGAGCTTGCTCAGGCCCAGACCCACTGCCAAAATCTGGACGAGTCGGAAGGTACGTACTACCCTTATTGCTTGCTAGACAGAGTCCAATGATTATTGTAGGGGATCAAGTTCTTTCTAATGGGACTGTTTGTGGCCCCCAGCGGCAAACAAGATCCTCTCGTCGTGCCCGCGAGGAAGCTCACCCGTATGCCCCTCAGCTCGAGGCAAATACTGTTGTAGCAAACCGGCTTGAAAAGCCTGATGGTCACAAACATGCTCGAAGACTGCTACATCAGCGACTGCAGCATCGCCTCCCACCTTGCCCCCGAGGTGGTATCCAGTTCATCCCGATCAATTCTGCGATGGATGCCAATAACTCTGCGACGGAGTCCGAGGAAGCGCAGACACGGCAGTGGGAAAACACCTCTGAACCGGCTCTTACCACAGGGGCCGCTGTGCATAAGTACACATCCCTCCTCACGTCAGATCTCAGCCACAGGAGGCTCCTTGACGTGTGCAGAGCAGTACAGGCAAGTGTGACGGAGCTGCAGGGGGCGCTGGTTCGCCAGGACGAATCACTGCGCTCTCTGGTAGCCAGATGCGCCTGCAGCCTGAAGTTGGATGCTGCCGCCAGCTTCTGGCTGATGATCAGTCACATAAGGCTCGCCTTTAGAGTGGCAAGGTACGTAGCTTTTCCTTTGAATATCTCCTAGTGTTGAATGGCTGGCATGACTAGGATACTTGAGTTAGATAACGGGAAATCTGATGAAGGCAAACTCACCGTGGCGGGAATTTGGCGGAGAGAATTTGAAGGCGTTGAGGGTGCCCCAGAGAAGAGGACGTTTCAGGACTGGAACACTACCGGCGTGAAGTTCGCGCGACTTGCCGGAGGAGGTACGTCTAGCGTGCATGTTCCCAAAATATATATTGATCTCAAAATTCACGTCCAGGCTCTATCTATCTTCTGGTGCTAGTAGCAGCCCAGAATCTCCGAGTACCTCTGGCTACCGCCAACGCACACATCGCACAAGACTTCAGTAATCTCCTGAGGTGGCCTGACGGTAGGCTGATTTTCTTATTGACATCTGACTGTTCTAAGCCGACTCAGATTCAAGAACGGGACGGCTCGTCAAAGATGTCATAATCCCCGCAGTAGCTCGTCTGCGAGAACTGTGCCCGATTCATCTTGACTGTATCCTGCCGGCAGCTCCCCAACCTGGAGTGTCAAGATCGCATTTTCCGCCTGATCTGTGCGGCCATCTTGACGCATCTGATTGCGTATTTGAATCCTGGAAATTGAAGTGAGCGTCAAGTTCAATATTGCCCCCACGTTATGGCACACTAATTGTTTATAGCTCCTTTTCTCTGGTGCCACGAAACAGAGACGTCTGGAGATCGTGCTACGATGAGTGCGACACCAGCAACACATTCACAAATGCCTTGATAGACGAACTAGGGCCGTTATCACCGCTGACACCAATTGACTCTCCCGTCCCTCCAGAGTTCGACTTACCAGACGATGTCGTCATTTCCTCCCCGCTCAGGTCATCCCCTGTCCCGCCGCACGAGGAAGTAGTGATTCGCCTCCAGTACGACGAGCAGCAGGAGGATAACCAGCGCTATCCGGGACCGTGCGGTGACAGAGACAAGAACGTTGTCTGGACAGAACAAGCCCGTCAACATGCGTCCAACTCCGCTCGGCCTGCAACCCTGGAGGGTCTCCAGAGTGAGGTACGAGGCAAATCACTTCTCAATTATGGAGTTAAACTTTACTTTTACAGCTTGATGGTTTGTACTCTGAAGGAAAGCGAATCAGGGACGACTTGTACGTGCGAGTACCCCTCGAACTTGTAAGGTCAGTGGTACTTGTATTGTCCTATCTACCTCCAACGATGCCGCAATTACTCACAACGTATGACACACAGAGACGTGCTGACATTCAGAGGCGCGAACAACGGTCTCGTAGCGTCGGTCTGCACCTCGATGTCGGAAGCTATGGCAGCCGATCTGACGGAGCGGCTGGTCGTGTGCTTCAATACCGATCCTTTGAATGACGTGGACACTGCGACACAAACACAGCACGAGTTCCAAGCCATTCATTTCTTGTGGTACAACCACCACGCCACGAAGGTCTGGAATACTCGTACTGTGTTTGACCTTGACCTCAACTGACATTGCCTTCTGTACAGGGTCATGACGCACCTTCAGATGTACCGCCGCAAATGATGAGCAAGTTTGGACGCTCAAGGACCAACTACCGTCAAATGATACCATATCCGTCCAAGGATATGGTGGTCCATGAGCCCATCTATCAGGCAATGGAGTGTATTCTTGGCGACGTGTTCAGCTGGATGGACACCAAGGTAAGCTCAATCTCAGTACAGTACGGTACTATTATTGTCAATGTGCTAATATTGTCTGAGTAGGTCCAGACAATTCTTCCAGGCGTATACCGTCATCTCGAGGCAACGGCCAGCATCCTCCCTAACCACCAGCAGTCGCTGGTCAACCCGTTTGTGGGTTTGGTCATCAACATCAATGTCGCAACCTACGCCCACAGAGACAGCAAGGACGACACTGTCTGTGTCGTCCTTGCTGTTGGCAATTTTGAGGGCGGCGAGTTGTGCCTGCACGAAGCGGGCTTGGTCATACCGCTACGTCACGGCCATTTTGTGATTTTTACGATCCCTGAGGTACGAAGGAATCGTTCTTATGACTGGAGAGAATGTAACGCTTAGCATGGAGCCCAATGTGGCAGGTTTTTCCCACAGTGCATGTGACTGTTTGTAGGCCAGATAAGCAGACATAAGTAACATTTACTATGCTATCATTACCTGAGTTTCAAATTTCAGACTCCCAGATGACGCGACTTGCACCAACACACCCAAACAAATGCAGTGGCTGACAATTCCCCATGGACTTGGGGCTCCTGTAACGTCTAGCTTGGAGCCCAATATGGAAAGTGGTGAACATGGCATGTGACCTAACCAGCAGCACTGCACTCCAATATAATCAATCACTTTTTGGAATAGTAAGCACTCACAAATAGATATGGCAAGTATATAGTCAACTTGTAGCCCTTGTTTCATAGAGTCTACAGTAATTTTGTTGTGCCCCAATAGTGGCTAGTTATGCCAGAAAATGCAAAATACAAAAAAAACACAAGAGACTTTGCAGAATTCAAACTGCTCATTTTCACCCTAGATATGTAGCACACAACCCATACAGTATAGCCATGTGTGTCAGACATCATGAAAATGCTTTATGATACCACAACAGAGCTCAGAATGGGCAAGGACTGCTCATTTAATGCTTGTACATGGTATTATCGCTCATCTTCCATATATGGTAATCTGTTGTAAACATCACAGGCCTCATCAACATGCCATACTGCTCTATGAATATCTTCTGATTTATCTGCAATTTATGAAGCACTGGACATCCACTTTATTGGATATGGAAGGTTTCTCACCATTTAGGGCAATGTGAGCTTTGTGATGCTGCATGTGCCATAGCCCTCCCACAACTTGCCTGGAATGAGTATTTTCCTGGATAATATTAGTTACAGATCACTGAGTTTGTATATATGCCTCTGTTGCACCAAAGAAAGGGGCAGTGGGCACTGTGTGTAGCCAGTCACATGATCCATGACATACCAACCATATACTCAGTCACCTGAACCTCTTGTTTCAGGTAGTCTGCAGTAATTTGGTTCACCCCTAGTAGTGACCAGTCAGGCCAGAAAATGCAAAATGCAAAAATTACAAATGACTCTGTAGCATTTATACTTGTTTCTAATCTAGATATGTTGCATATGTCCCATTCAGTACAACCATCCATAATAGAGATCAGCAAATTTTGTTGTAGTGGCAGTACAAAGCTCATCATGACTACCCATTTAGCATAGTAATGTTACTTACCTCCGACTTCATGGTCTGTTGATAATGATTTTGTGTACAGACCTATTTCCACCAGAGGAATGAAATTTGGATAATATATAACAGATCTTGTTGAGTACAATTACATGATGTTGCCATGCTCTTCATGGCATACTGATATAGCATCAATAACAGCTGTGAATTACATTGCCAATTGGGATGTTGTTACATGATGACACAGCACAGTACAGACACAATCATCTAGCTACTGCTTTCCCTTTACCCTTGCTCTTGTCACTTGCAGTCTTACTCTTTTTAGTGCTAGGTCTCTCCTCCCCATCAGATCCCTCCTCAGCCTCTTCAAGCCCTCTCTTCTTGGTCTTCTTGGTCTTCTTCTTCTTCTTCTTCTTCTCAATCATGCTGATACCCCATTCACCATATGCCCCTTGTTTCAAGAACCTCACAACTTTGCAGAGAGTGTGTTCCAAGACAATCTCATCAAATTGCATCTTGTCAAGTTCCTCTTTGGAAACTCTGGCAGTTATCTCCTCAAAGAGCCAACTAAACTGCTCTGTGACTTTGTCTCTCAGCATCTGAGCAGTGAGTCCCTGTGTAGGTACAAGCCCCAGAGTCTTCAGTCCAGCTACAGCTCCTGAGTCTATCCTTGCAATCATGTCTCCCACTTCTGCAGTGCTAGGCTTTTTCACAGCACAAGTATAAGAGAGGTCTGCACAGAGGAGATATAGTGTCAATTTGCCCATCTTCTGTAGATGTTGACTGGGCTCATTTTCACTACTGGATCTCCAGGACTTCTTAAGCCATTTCTTGTAGATCTCTTGGAAATCCACTGGCTTCTTGGACATCAGAGTTTCCCAATCTGTGAGCTTAACAGCTTCCCACAGCTCATATTCCCAGCCATCATCCAGCTTATTCACTTGTCCATAGGTGGCATGGTGCATGAGAAAGTTTCTCTTCTCAGCCTCACTTAGATTGCCAAACAAATTAGGGCTCTTGTTCAGGAGATCCTTAAGTCCTTGCTCATAGTTCCTCAACTCCTGTGGGCCTTTGAACATGGTTTGCACATGTTCCTTTGGAGTATGCAGAAGAGCAGGACTTCTGAATGCACGCAATCTGAAATAGAAAGCACTGAATAGACCAGCATTTGTGACAATGTTTTCATCATCAAATGGGTTCTTAGGAGAGTCCATCAACCTCTTCCTGGATGCACCCTGCTCCCTCAAGGCCAAGAAGTTGTCAGAGTCATTATGTATCAATTGGAATGGTTTATCTTCACTCTGACTGTCTGTGGACTCTTGTGATCTCAATGCATCCTGGAGAATGGCTATGACAAAATTGACAGCTTTCTCAGGAGAAACAGCATCTACTTGGGGTGGCACAGGCTCAGGAATTTGAGCAACCTTATCAACTTGAGAACTGGTGCTCTTAGACATCCTAATGAACTTCTCATGAGCATCTTGAATGGACTTGAGTAACTTCCTCTCTGCAGTGTCTAGGTTGGCTGCAGGAGTAGTTTTCAAAGCTGTCTTAAACTCATGGAAAATATCTCTTGTCATGAGATGAGGCTGTGTGATCTGGTATCTCTCAGTGATCCAGTGAGGAACTGCTTTATATATCTCCCAAACAGCTGGCAGTAAAAGTGCACCAATGTCCAGTACCTCCCTGAGGCTAGTGACAAGACCTGCTTGTCTGATCAGGTCCTTCATGTTGACCTCAGTGATACCAAGCCATGCAGAGATTATTTGCAAGATATTCCAGGTCACATCTCCATCAAATCTAGCATCATCTGCTGGTAATCTGTTCCTGTAGTACTCCAGCTTATGGTTGACTCTCTTTGGTGGATCTAGAGCTGGAATATATGGAGCAGATGACACAGACCATGTTGCATCTTGTGCATAGTCTCTGAACTTGTCAATGAAGGCTAAGGTAAGGTCTACCAGCCATAAGACATCTCTTTGTTGATCTTCCCAGAGCTGCCTACAATTGCAGGGTTCTGATTGTTCAGAGTCATTGTGCATCACAAAGACATGGGGTCTATGTTGAGATGAGATAGTCTGTATCACACTCTTACAATCCTGATACAGGAACTGAATAACCCATGTCTTGGACACCATGATCCTCTGATGGCTGATGTTGAGCCAGACAGACTGGAGCTCACTTGCACTGCCCAAGACTGACAGATCATGCCAGTATCTCCCAATAGCCTTGACAATGTCAGCTGAGTACTTTGGCAGTTTTTCAGCTTGACTCTCAAAATCATCCAATGACTGAATGATTTCACTTAACTGCTGAGGTTTGAATTTCAGCAGTTCAAGGGCAGACTGGGCATCACCCAGGGACTGAGACAACTGTGACTTGTTGAAGATCTTCAGCAATGCTTTCACTATCATAGTTGTATATTTAGTACCACAATATACTATGTGTGATGCATGAAATACTCACTTTGGGGCTGGGACTCCATGGCTCTAGTCTGTGCAGAATTTGCCTCAGGTTCATCAAGGAGAGCCTCAATGGCTAGATCAACTGAATGGATATGTTAGTTGAGAGTTAAGTGCAGTGAGAGTTTCTCACCTTCATCTCTCATTATGCCCCTTGCTTCCAGCTCATGTTCATAGTTATCCTCACTATCATTCTCATGCTCATGCTCAACACTAGGCTTAGGCCTATTCTCAAGATCAATCTCAGGCTCAATCTCAATCTCAATCTCAGGCTCATTCTCATGCTCAGCAAGCACTGGATTATGTGTCAGAACAGTGCATAATACAGAAAGTTGTGATCACTTACTAGCATGGTCTTGAGGAACATTCTCAACTTGATAACAAATATCAATTAACAAGTCTTGCATCTTTATAGAGAAAATCACTCACCATTCTCCATATCCACATCATCTTCATCTTCAGAAGAAGATAGCAAGCCTTCTGGCACCTGCCAACCATTTTGGGACCTGGAATGCATGTGCAGATAGCCAGTATTTCCCAAAGGCAACACATGTGTGGCCTTGTTCTTCTTAGTCTTAGGCTCTGCAGATGATATATCAAACTATGAGTTCATAAGATTCAAAAATGACTTACTGGTTGAGGCTCCAGTCCTTGGTAGCTTCTGTGGCTTGTCTATCAATTTGTTAGCCAATATAGTATTGGTCCAGTGTATCTCTCTCACCTAAAGGCTGGGCATGCCCCAGAAATCTCAGTGCACTTGGAAGATCCAAGTCTACACCCTTCAATGCAATCTCAGGTACAGCCTGTGCATGAGGCACATGCAGTTCATTGTAGAACTTCTCAAAACTGCCTTTCTACCTGGGAACAGCTCTTGAGCTCTCTCAGCATTGGAAGCCTCTGGCTGCCAAGTGATTCTATGGCCTGGAGAGTACTTCCAGTCCCTTCCTTTGAAGGGTTGGCCATTGTTGATATCTGGTATCTCAGCAGTGATACTGTCCATGATTTGCTGGACATCAACATTCACAGTATAGGGCAGTTGCCTTAGGCTCTGATAGAGTGATGTCACTAGCATGCGCTTAGAGCATGTAAAGTGTTCCTCAGGTGGCATGATAATGCTTGCATCCCTGATCAAAGTTGCATGGGTGCAATCTGGGAAAGGAGGCCTTTCAATCTGTCAACTTACACATTTTCCAAATGATAAAACTTATATAAAACTCACTCAGGATGAAACATCTCAGGGGGTACAGTGACTGGCTCTTTTGTACTGGAAGCAGCCAGTACAGTCTTGTTGGTACCCAGCATAATTCTTGATGCAGGGTACAGAATCAAGACAAAGCGGTACGCCCATGTCTCAATGTCCTCAACACCAGATGGTGCTAGTGGTGGTGTCCCAGAGTGGCGCAAGCGCCCACTAAAGAAAACTACATGGATGTTTGCTAAATCCACATAGACTCCTAGGGACAAGAGGTGGAATCTGCCAGCCTCATAATTCTCAGGCAGATGACTGCCTACCACCATGGCTGAGAGACCTGCAGCAAGATCCATATCATCTGTATGGTCTCCACCAAAAAATCCCATCTCAGTGAGGCCATTTTCTAATGATTGATAACTAATCAGTTCATATCTCCAATGATTACTGAATTTAACTTACTAGACTCAAAACGCTGTGGTACAGCCATGTTGACCTGGGAGCTTGGCCACACACAATTGCCTGGGTGGGCTAATCTAGGCATGTTGACTGCCTCTGCCAACTCATGATATGTATCCCTCATGTATGGTGGGCACTCAGCAAACCCATCAAGGGCTATGTCAATTCCAAGCTGTGAAGCAACAAGTTCAGTACATATGCATATCACATTTTATGACAACACTTACATTGTTCAACACTGATCTCATATGAGTTAATTCATCAACTTTGCCATTTGAGCCTAATTTAGAATTGGCATTGGGAGCACAATTCAGTGTGGGCTTCTCATAGGTGAAACCAGTCTGGTAACACCTAGTTCCATCTTTAACTGGTTTAATTCTGGTGCCATCACTGTACTGCTCAAAAGGAGTGCTCCCAGCCTCAGGTGACCTGTTTTCCTTAGGCCCTAGCATTGTCTTACAGCAGTCAAGCCATGCAGCCCATTTATCACTGTTCATGAGATCACTGAATAAAATATTAGCAGAGCATGATAATAACAATTCTTCAAGCTTACCTTCCAGGAACAAAGCCTTGAACTACATCCTTCAATGGATCTCCTCCATTACATAGGGATCTAGCCATGATCCAGTCTCCTGGCTTCATTTCCACCAATCCTATTTTTTTGTCAGTCATCAAGTCAGATTGATTGAATAAACCATCTTACCTAGCTTCTCAATTTCTGCCTTGGGCATATGAGGGACCTTGTCTTTCTCTCCACAAGTCATGGCATTTTCCAGCCCAGATTGGCTTGTATCCATTACATACACATAGGTATTGCCTATGTGTCCATTCATCCTATGTTGTCTCAAAGGATGCATATCATTGCCCTTGTATAGGAACAAGGGAGGCAAGTGTTTAGGCCTCTGGGGCAGTTCAAGAGATTCAAGGTCTTTGAATACATCAAGGTATTCCTCATCTCTTAGGCAGTTTTCACTTAAAAACTGCTCCCCAGTGGGGTTTGGCCTCTCATGCAGAACTGAGGCTTCTGAGTCCATATCCAAGGGCCTCCCTTCAGTTGAATGTAAGGGGGCTTGTGGTTCACTCATGTTACTGCTCATGGCCATGGTCAGTAGACTGAACTATGAGGATTATCCCCATCAGGCTCCCTACCTGTCTGTTCATATTGTGAGTGTCAGTAATGAACATGCTGTAATTGAGCATTACTCACTGTGTGATCTGAAACTCTATGGACAGTTACTCAGTATCACCACCTTTTGGATAATCTTAATGGCCTTTACCTCTGTAGAAATATTTAAATCAGCAGTACTCAATGTCATATAATTTAGAACAGATTCCTCACTGCACACTATGCAATCCAATACACTGTAGTAGACTCAGCATTAATCACTGAGGATAATTATGCTGAGATCATATACCTCTCTACATATGTATAAGCATCAATAACTCATGTCAATTTGACAGAATTACTCACTGTGTACTATGTGCTTGACTGAGCATTCCATCAGATCAGTATATACATGCAGTACTCATTCATAGACTCACATTGTATGGCTTGAGCTGTAGAATGACTATACATATCAATGAGTCACCAATCATATCAAAAGAAACAATGAGCTCACCTTGTTTGAGTACTAAGGACAGTAACAGCCTACAATGGCTGTCAATTGGGATTGTTGTTACTGAGAATGATATTCAGTAATACTGTTATGAGAACAGCATTGCCAAGCTGATTGCAATGATCACAAGATTACTCACTATGCACAGAGTACAGTACCTCTGCTACTATATGGCCACAGTTCTTGTCCTTGGATGCTGCAGGATCTCAAGTTAGTATGATAGTTATTCAGCAGCAACAGGTACTATACTCACCTTGAGGTATACAGAGGCTGTAGATACCATGAACACATTAGAACTAATCTAGAACACTTCCAGAGACTCCAGATCACTTACATTAGCAGTCTTGCTTGGGCTACACACTAGAATGCAAACTCGGAAGGGGGGAGAGAGTGAGGGGAAGAAGAGAGAGAGGGGATTCGAGCAGACCCGAGTACCCATCTTTCGCAGGCTGTGCGAGCGCTGTCTACGGGCTGTGCGAGCATGTGACCGATGACGTGCGGTCGCAGCACTCGCAGCGGTACAGTACCGCTGCGAGTGCTGCGACCGCACGTCATCGATTGATCGTGCGCGCTTGCACCTTCTCTCTCCGACCACCATCTCCTGCCGCGCCACCCCTTATCGTCTCACCTCGTGGACCGGTTGTCTAGCCCCGTGGACCGCACGCCACCCGTCAACGAAGTCAGGGAACTGACGACGACTAACTCACCTCATTAGCAGATCGACAACGCACTCCGTACGTCTCGTACGTCGAGAGCAGAGATGGACCACGAAGGGGTGAGCGGAGCGCAGCGCAAGGGGTGAGGGAAGACTCCGAATAAGGTGTGTCTGCCAATCCCGACGCTGCACTCCGGTGTACGTGTCCCCACCGCCCGACAGCGTTCCCCGACCTGCTCGCCCCGGACCCCCGCCTCCCGCCTCTCTACTGCGCCGCTACCACTCGGTAGCTGCGGCGTTCGACTCGCCCAGCCTGGGCGAGTCGAGTGCCACCGTTTCCGGGTGCTTGGCGACCGTCTACGTGTCCCCACAGCCCGCCGGCGCCTGTCGACCTGCCCGCCGTGGACCCCACCTCCCGCCTCCCTCCCGCGCCGCTACCACCCGGTAGCGGTAGCGTTCGACTCGCCCAGCCTGGGCGAGTCGGGCGTCACCGTCTCCAGGTGCACGACGGCGGTGCACGCCTCGCCACAGCCCGCCGGCGCCAGCCGACCTGCCCGCCGTGGACCCGACCTGCCCGCCTCCCTCCCGCGCCGCTACCACCCGGTAGCGGTCGCGTTCGACTCGCCCAGGCTGGGCGAGTCGTGCGTGACCGTTTTCGGGTGCTGGGCAACCGGCTACGTGTCCCCACCGCCCGACTGCACCTCCCGACCTGGTGCCCACGGACCCCCGCCTCCCGCCTCCCTCGTGTGCCGCTACCACCCGGTGGCGGTCTCGTACGACTCGCCCAGGCTGGGCGAGTCGTGCGTCACCGTCTCCAGGTGCATGACGGCCGTGCACGCCTCGCCACAGCCCGCCCGTACCCGTCGACCTGCCCGCCGTGGACTCCACCTCCCCGCCTCCCTCCCGCGCCGCTACCACCCGGTAGCGGTGGCGTTCGACTCGCCCAGCCTGGGCGAGTCGGGCGTCACCGTTTTCGGGTGCTGGGCGGCGGTGTACGCGTCACCACCACCAGCCGGCGCCTCCCGCCCTGCTCGCCCTGGACCCCCGCCTCCAGCCTCCCTCCCGCGCCGCTACCACCCGGTAGCGGTGGCGTTCGACTCGCCCAGCCTGGGCGAGTCGGGCGTCACCGTTTTCGGGTGCTGGGCGGCGGTGTACGCGTCACCACCACCAGCCGGCGCCTCCCGCCCTGCTCGCCCTGGACCCCCGCCTCCAGCCTCCCTCCCGCGCCGCTACCACCCGGTAGCGGTGGCGTTCGACTCGCCCAGCCTGGGCGAGTCGGGCGTCACCGTTTTCGGGTGCTGGGCGGCGGTGTACGCGTCACCACCACCAGCCGGCGCCTCCCGCCCTGCTCGCCCTGGACCCCCGCCTCCAGCCTCCCTCCCGCGCCGCTACCACCCGGTAGCGGTGGCGTTCGACTCGCCCAGCCTGGGCGAGTCGGGCGTCACCGTTTTCGGGTGCTGGGCGGCGGTGTACGCGTCACCACCACCAGCCGGCGCCTCCCGCCCTGCTCGCCCTGGACCCCGCCTCCAGCCTCCCTCCCGCGCCGCTACCACCCGGTAGCGGTGGCGTTCGACTCGCCCAGCCTGGGCGAGTCGGGCGTCACCGTTTTCGGGTGCTGGGCGGCGGTGTACGCGTCACCATTGCCCGCCGGCGCCTCCCGCCCTGCTCGCCCTGGACCCCCGCCTCCAGCCTCCCTCCCGCGCCGCTACCACCCGGTAGCGGTGGCGTTCGACTCGCCCAGCCTGGGCGAGTCGGGCGTCACCGTTTTCGGGTGCTGGGCGGCGGTGTACGCGTCGCCACCACCAGCCGGCGCCTCCCGCCCTGCTCGCCCTGGACCCCCGCCTCCAGCCTCCCTCCCGCGCCGCTACCACCCGGTAGCGGTGGCGTTCGACTCGCCCAGCCTGGGCGAGTCGGGCGTCACCGTTTTCGGGTGCTGGGCGGCGGTGTACGCGTCACCATTGCCCGCCGGCGCCTCCCGCCCTGCTCGCCCTGGACCCCGCCTCCAGCCTCCCTCCCGCGCCGCTACCACCCGGTAGCGGTGGCGTTCGACTCGCCCAGCCTGGGCGAGTCGGGCGTCACCGTTTTCGGGTGCTGGGCGGCGGTGTACGCGTCACCATTGCCCGCCGGCGCCTCCCGCCCTGCTCGCCCTGGACCCCCGCCTCCAGCCTCCCTCCCGCGCCGCTACCACCCGGTAGCGGTGGCGTTCGAGTCGCCCAGCCTGAGCGAGTCGGGCGTCACCGTTTTCGGGTGCTGGGCGGCGGTGTACGCGTCACCATTGCCCGCCGGCGCCTCCCGCCCTGCTCGCCCTGGACCCCCGCCTCCCGCCTCCCTCCCGCGCCGCTACCACCCGGTAGTGGTGGCGTTCGACTCGCCCAGCGTGGGCGAGTCGTTCACAACCGTTTCCGGGTGCTGGGCGGCGGTGTACGCGTCAGCACCGCCCGCCGGTGCTTCCCGACCTGGTCGCCACCAACCCCTGCCTCCAGTGTCCCTCCTGCACCGCTACCACCCGGTAGCGGTCCCGTACGACTAGATCAGGCTGGGCGAGTCATGCGTGACCGTTTTCGGGTGCTCAGCGACCGTCTATGCGGCCCCACTGCTGCAGGCGCCTCCCGACCTGCTGTCCTGGACTCCCGGCTCCCTCCCACACCGCTACCACCCGGTAGCGGTGGCGTTCGACTCGCCCTGCCTGGGCGAGTCAAGCGTTACTGTTTTGGGGTGCTGGACAATTCTGTTTGTGTTGCCACAGTGCGCATGGGCTTCGTGGCAGTGCCGCTCCGGTTACCCACCATCACCGGCCCACCGTCCTGGTACAGGTAGGCCTTGGCGAGTATCCGGTTATGTTGTGAGGCTCATAGCCGGTCTTGTGATTTTCTGGGAGCATTGGCTGGGCATGCCAAGTCACTGGTCCTGTGATACTGTGGGTACGTATATTTCATTGCATCTCATCGAATGACTGAATCTCTGAATGGGCCCACCTGTATTCACATAATAATGAGATGAGTGAGTTCTATATATTGAAAATTCCAATATTGTGTTATCTCATGTTGCACGTCTAATCAATCAGATCTGATGTCAGCGTGTGTGTTTGCTGCGCCTGATCAGCAACTGATATATGCTCTGATGCCAAGACCAATGTCACCGCTCACATATACGGAGCTCACAGGTTGATGTCCCTCTTGTTTCCTCACCGCCATGTCACTGATGCTCCCTTCCGTACCCGCTGTATCCAGCATGATATGTTGTCCGTAGGCTCAGCGAGACTTCCTGCATGTTGCCATGGGCATGCAGGTTGCCTGGCTTTGTCTTGCGGCAATTGTGAGTTGTCATGCATCCGTTCATCTTGCTGAATTACTTTGCTCTAGTATACGGTCTCTGTATGATCATGTCTGAGATATTGGGTTCTGGGGGCTTATGCGGTTCTGGGGGCACTTTTTGTTGGCGAGAGTACATCACATTGGGTGTATTGGGGGTTGCAGTACTGACATATTGGTTGGTGTTGCGCCTCTGCTTGTCTGTGGGTTCTGGGGGCATTTGTTACTGGCGAGAGTACGTTGTATTGGACGTCTTGGTGGTTGCGGTACCAACACATTGGTTGGTGCTGCACCTCCGCTTGCCAATGGGTTCTGGGGGCAATTGTTACTGGCAGAGTACGTTGTGTTGGATATATGGATGGTTGTCGTGTCAATAGTTGGTTGGTGTTGTGCCTTCCTTTGTTGTCGGCCCACGGGTTACATTGTCTGGTACGTGATGATGCTTGTTCCGATCACTGCACTGATGTATTTTCAGGCTTTGTACTACTGTTGGTGTGTGTGGTTGTACCGTCACCGCTTACTGATGATTCTGGTATGTTTCTTCCATGGAGTATGTCATGGTCATCACTGATTGCCTTCGTGTAGCGATATCTGCTTGTGCTCATGCATTGCATTGAGCAGGATGTGTGTTGACGACCATTGGTACTTATTTCCCATTATCTCATGGCTGTGAAAATATAACACTGTGTAACAGGCACGGCTCTGCTGGTTTCCTTTCACCCCCATTCCTTATCATTCAGGGCTGCACAAAGACGTGGCCAGTCTTTGTGTAGCCTTGGATGACTTCGCCTTTTCTCATTCTTTACTTTATTTGACTTGAACACAAGTGCTGTGATGTAATGAATTATGTAATGACCTGTTTGCGATCCCCTTTAGTCACATGACTGTGTGAATAATGCTTATCAACTATCAGCACTGCACCACATGGCGATGAAGATCAAGCTGTGTAGTGGTTCACTTGGCATCACAATCAGATATATGAATGTGAAACCGCCAAGCTGATGGAATGACATATATTGAGCCTGACTTTGCAGACAGATCAGATGCGCTTGCCCTCGCCATTGTCAACCCCATATCAGTGAGTGGGTTGATTTGATATTGATTTTGCTGTTCTCACGCCTTGCCCAAGCAATGGCACGTACAAAGGCTACTGCAAAGAAGGCTGTTGGCTTATTGACAAGTGCAAGACACAACGACCTTGATGATGGCCATGCTGTACCTGCAGAGATCAGCGATGTCAATATGGATGACGCTCCGCCAGCTCCTCAGAGCATTGAAGCAGACGATGGTGGAGAGGCGTGGCACGAAATCGTAATGTTTCTTATATGCTATTTAATTTTGTGGTTAACATCTATCACAGTACTGTTACATGTGCCACAATGGTGGTGACATGCTCATCTGTGACTGGTGTTTGCGTGCCATGTGCTCTGAATGCTTGAACAAGATCGACATCACCAAAGTGCCACAGAAGTGGGATTTCAAATGCCCTACGTGTTACTACAAGGACTGGAAGGATAAAGACAAATACTATGTACGTTTTACTAGTACTATGATCAGTGAATATCATTTATAACATTTGCACAGGCCTTCCAGCTCAATGGTGAACGTGTCATGGACGAGCCGACCATCATCTCTGGTGGTCTGGTTGGCCCGCAGCATGCGCATGTTAACACAAGGCATCTAGCTATTGTTGTGTTCCGCCTCAAGTCTCTGGAGCGAAAGGGCAGTATTCCGGAGCTCCTCAAGGCGCACCTTGAGAGCTGGTTCTGGCAAACCAACACGCTCCACTACTATGACATACCATTTGATCTGCAAGACCTCCAAGATGCTGACCGCCATGCACAACGTGTTCGGGCTGTTATTGACAAGCTTATTGAGTATGTCAAACTACTTAGTCTAGGTAAACAACACAGTACTGATGCATCCATTCACACCTAGTGTGGAATGTCGACGTGTTGTGACATTTGTCTACACGCATAGCAACATCCTCCGTGGTGACCTCTATCATGCATGGGATGCTACATCCTCAATTGACAAGGTATGTCAATAACCTCATTAGCCAGTGACTGCTATATTGACAAGTGCATAGTTCTTCTTCCGGGTGCTCACACCTCCGTATCTTGAGTACACCAAGCAGTACGGTGAAACCTCACATTGGATGTTCATCCTAGCCTGTGGCGCCATCATCACCAGTCCCAAGGCCCTCGACACACTGGACAACGAGCTCCTGAAACACCGAGTCCCCTTCTGCATTGGCTTCACAGCCAGTTCACTGAATGCACACCTTGCTGCCGACTTCATCATCGCTTTTGGTTCCCGTGTTCTCATTGAACGCGCTCGCCTCACTTCCAAAACCCTCCGCAAATTACTCCAACTGTCCTGGTCTCTTCGGCGGCATGGATCAATTGTGCTGTTCCGCCTCTGCGATAACGAGGCTGGTATGCGGTGGATTGCACGTGAGGAGTACGTGTGGCATCACCGTAAGCTTGCACCTGCTGGTCACCCAACTCCCTTGCAATGCCCGGAGTGCAAGCATCTTCACACTCTCAAGACATTCTACACTGATGCCCATGCTGGGTATGTGTGTATGATGAAGGATTGTTCTTTCGAGGCGGAATGGGAAGTTGACTATGATGCTGAGGCAGAACTGGATGCATATGATGGTGGTTGGCGCATGCGGCCTTTGTCAGTAGCTCATCTGTTGTAGTTGAATAGTGTGGTGTATTAGGGATTCAACTCCTCTCTGTTTGGTATATTCAACTGTACCCCAATGCTATGTGTAGAGCTTCTTTGTTATGATCTAGGCATTGCATGGAGATTACAAATGACACTATTGAAAGCAAGGATCAATCCATTGTGTGCCCTTCAGGTGTATCAATGCGCATGCGCTTGATATCTGTCCTGGTGTCCTCCACATCACTGTCATCATCATATCCAACAACACGTTTGACCTTCCGTGTTGGAGACCCCTGTTTCAGTGCTTGCTCAACTCGCTCTCGGTTAATGCCTGTCCATAGTTTAGTAGTTTGTTTCAAATACAAAAATAGGCTTACATTTTCTATGCTGCGATCAAGGACACAGATGGAGCGCAACTTACACACCATCTTGTATTTCCCCTTTCCCCTAGGAACAGCCACAAATGAAGTTTGGATTTCCACTAATTGACCAACACTGATAGCTGTTGAATGAGACTTCTTGAATTGAGGCCTTATATACATTACTGTGTCAGTAATCAATGTTGTTACTGTGACTCATGACTTACTTGGCAACATTGTCAGGTTTCACCCTCTCATAGTATTTGACTAGACCATCCATAGTGAAAACTTCATCTGTGATGTGACGGCGGAGGATGTGGAAAGGGTCCATGTCATCAGGGATGTCAATGATGTTGGCAGCAGAGGTGTTCTCTCGTGTGGTGAGATATTGATTGTGGAAGTCAAGAGCAATATGTCCTTGCTCTTTCTTTACATCCCACTGATGAAGGCTTCCTTGGCCAAGCCTTCTCTCAAACAGCTGATGGATAGACATCAGTGCCACAGCAGCTTCACTGAACTGGGCACTGCCAAGTCCAGTGATACGCAAGTACTGCTCTGTATGAACAGCCCTTGTACGGGCAATGCTAACATTTGTTTGTTAGTAGGTACAATTATATGTAGAAAAGTGGTAATGACATACTCTGCCTCGCGGGTTATTGGTGGTAACTTGCTTTTGACCAAGTATCCCTGGATGCTGAGCACCACTTCCTCAGGAGTGCTGTCATCTTCTGCATAGTAGACCAGCAGTTTCTCCTTTCCTTCACCATGGTCTAGGATGTTCATTGCTCTCTGGACATCATCTGCCTGTTTTATGCAAATGTGAGATGCAATCACAGATTGCTGGGACAAATCTCACATTAGACATAGCAGTGAGTTGCACTGCTGCTTTTTTGCTATGGGCTGCTAATGCCAATTCTCCATCAAGAACCAGCCCTACATATGCCAAATGACATTAGTCACTGGTATGGGTATTGATGAGTCAGTCACATACTGTACTTCTCTGGAGCATTGTACAACTTTGCCAGTGCCATTTCAACTTATGTCTAACAGGGAGGGAGGACTGAGGCTGGTGCAAGTAGCAGACACTGCTTTTCTGTTACAACAGATCAACAAACATGCTTGGCGATCAGGGTGTTCATGTGTTCCAATATCTACTTCCACATGGTGCAATCATATTTTGATGCAACCATCAATGATTGCTATATGAGTAATGACAAGTGTCTCCCCTGGTATATTGCTGTATCTTATTATTACTGGTGAATGTCATATATTGTCTCTTGGTTCTCTCATAGATGACATGCAATAGTGCAATTTACTGCACTGAAAAACAGTTGAGACAAGCATGCAACAATATCTGATAAGGATCAGTCCTAACCAAGCTTCTGATAGAACACACCTATTGATGATGCCAAGCATATGCTGACTGATGTGTTACAGAGTCACATGACTGTATGACTGATGGTGTAATCAGTCACATGTTGTGAAGTGCCCACAGTATAAATAGGGTGATTTCTCCATCAGATTCCTCCCTGACACTTCTACCCTGCTGCCAGAAACACTGCTCATTGGACCTACACTGTTGCTGTAATTATTGTGCAGTCTCTGTCATGTCTCTGTAAGTTCATTGAGTGTTTTATTTGTCCATTTTCACTGAAACTTTCATACTGCAGGTCTACACGTTCTCAGAAGAAAGCTGCAGTTGCTGTTGCCAAGTCTCAGACAATAGTGTCAGTTTTGACTTTTCCCAATGATAGTTTTACTCATAGTTATAATTCAGGAAAAAGGTTCCCAAGAAGCCCTCTCTGAGAATGGAAGGTGGAACAGACTCTGATGATGTTGTGTATGTTTATCATATCACACTACTACATATACTGATATAGTATCAGGATAACCCCTCCCAGCCAGAAGCACTCATCATTGCCAGCTGGTAGAACAGCTGCAAAAATAAGGCTAGTACCTATTTGACACACAATTATCAACATAACTCATGTCAAGTCTTCTAGGGCTGGTGTAGTGAAGGGTGGCAAGTCAGCAAAGAATGTACCTTTGAGTGATGATGAGGATGAGGAGGGTGCAACCCATATCACTGTCAGTGATACAGAAGTTGAGCATGAGGGAGAAATATCTCAAGGGGTGAGTGATGAGGAGTATGAGGTTGTGAGGTATGTGTTCTGCAATCATGGGTTCACTGCACTTCATCTGTTGTGCTCTGCAGATACAAGAAGCCTGTTGCAAAGAAGCAGGCTACTGCTACACAGGATCTTGAGTCAGCGGGTGAGAGTAGTGATTCCTCAAACCCTCTTGCCACACGGTATGCATGCACTACAAAACCACCACCTTGGATATTGTCTCAATTGCTTGTCCAGTCTCAAGAAAATGCAATCTAGGTACCTCTTCCCCTGCATCTTATTCATAATGCATACTGAATGGCACAACAGTCCTGACTGGGACACAGAGCTTGCTGGCTCTACACCTCAGAGCCCTGTGAAGAGGTGTGTGTTATTGATTGCATCTGTACTTTTTTCTCTCATTGGATAGCAGACGCAACATATCTAGTCCTCCTGAGAGCCCCATGACACCATCTCCTAAGTGTGTACCTTACTTGCTGTAGCATGTGCCCATGCTGATATAACTACTATTGCAGCAAATCTCAGATCAAAGCCAAACGGTAAGTTGACATCTGTCACTGAAGCTGTATGCTCAACAATCCTAGCAATGAGCACCCAAGCCCTGAGGATGACAGTGCAAGGTACATTCATTATTTAGAGTTCATGATTTGGTGTTCATATAATTGTACAGTGCATCTCCCACCAAGAAGTCCAGGCAGGCAGTGTTCAAGTCAGCAATTCCATGGAATAATACAAGTTTGAATGTGTTCTGAGACTTATGTAGCCAATCTCAACCCAGAAACAAGGGCAAAGGCAAACAGTTGCCCATGTCTGATGATGGAGAGAACCCATTCATTGAGAAGCAAGGGAAAGGGTGGGTACACTTCAGATATTTATATATGCTACATATGCTAATTTTCCTGACAGCAATGTCCAAATTGGAGGGAAGAAGTTTGTAAGCTTTCATAGTATTAATGTTCATATTCATATCTTGTGCTTCTAGACTCAAGCCTGTTCTGGAGAACTCCACTCCCAGAAAGGCCTCATCTTCAAGGAAGACTGTGAAGTGAGTTCATACAACTCTTCAGGATGTCCACAAACAACTCAGTATGGCTAGGAATGCTGAACAATCTAGCATTGAGGATGCTATGTGAGAGCCTTCCAATCTTCATGCAGTTGAATGATCTGACATTGAGTATAGCTATGCTGAGCCTCCATATGAGTTGACACCTCCCCAGGGAAACAAGTATGTAAGATTTGACATGTGTATTGCAGTACTGATAACTGCATGTTTCCCAGGCATTGTCTCCAGCTTGACAAGGCTGAGATAGACCCTTGGTTGAAAGACAGCTACAAGAACATGTGGCCCTTGAAGTAAGTCTCACCATACCATCAAAGACACCATATCATTCAATAGTATCAGGAAATATGATGTACCACCACACGCTTGTGTCAAGCCCAGTGATCTTGTTGGAAGTTTTGTTGAGGCTGGTGTTCAACTGCAGCTAGTGTGAGTAACAAGACTAATTCAAATTATGCAATGTCTCATACTAACACTGAACTTCTAGAAACCTGAAGGCAACATTTACCACCTCATTCAGGTGCATGTGGCTGGTGAACCCTGCACGTGCCTCTCCCAAGAATTTTGGCTCCATCAGTCCAGGTTATTCAAGGCCTGTGGTCACTTTCAATGAACATCCCATCATCAATGTCACCTTTGGGACTGTTGAATACAGCCATCTTGTGACTCCCATGGACTTCAACACCAAAGATGGTCGTCGCAGGTTAAAATCTATCACCATCACTCCCCTGGACCCAGATTTTGATCTAGCCTGGTCCTTCTGGTGTGAGGTTCTGGGAGCCTCCTCACTAGCACTCTCATCCCACAATGCTAATGGCTCCTTCACTTCATTCTCAACCATATCTGACAAGGTGACTGGAGCTGGAGGTATGTCACACTTTGATTATATGTGCTGCATGATGCTGAGCCACATGGCAGATGCTTTGATATCTCATGGCAAGGTCAGCCTTATGAAGAAGTTCCTCAAGAGCCCCTCAAAGCCCACTGCCTCCCCATCTCGTCCCTCTCACTCTCAGGGTGTTCAGAATGCTCTTGCTGGTACCCGCCCTACTGCTCTCAATGAAATACTTGGAGATCGTGTAGCACTCAACCCCAAGCAAGAGAGTGAGTGGCATATAGTAATATGAATTTCATTCCACTGATGGCATCCATGTACAGTACCCATCTGGGATGCAAGGGAATATTTCCAGCCTGGTGCAGCCAATGGCTCCTTTGATATTGAGGCTCTTGAAGATTGTCCACGTGCATTTGAGGAGCCAGGCAAAGACTCTATTGTTGCAGTGTTGCATACAACATCTACTTACCCAGGGAGTTCTGGTGCTCCCACCAATCTCTCCTTGAATGTTGTTGGTGCTGTCATCTTGGTGGGAAATGACTAATGTGTTGATGTGCTTTGTATGTATGCAATCCTGACCTTGCTGGCCATATGCTCCATGAATCTGTATGACTACCCTCTATGCTGTACCTCATGCTCTACAATGATTATGCCAAGTTATGATTCACATGATTCATCATCACTCCAGTCAAAGTCAATTGCAAATGTGGCATGCACAGTGTATTGGTGTTGCAATTTATGGAAATGACAAAACAATTGTTATAGGGAAAGACTTTCTGAAAGGAGCAATCAATGCAGTCATGTGATGTGAAAATTTGACATCACATGTGCAAATTGAACCGTGAGAATATCTGTCCTCTTGCTTCTGACTCTCATGTCTCCTGCAACCATGAAGAACATTATCTGCATTGTAGCCTTCATGGCACACATTGTGGTGTATTTTTCACTCATAACAGCCAACAAGATACACTCAGATCTTGGCCAGCTGGTACCCACCACATGCACAGGGCTTAGCAACCCATTCCATAACAACAATCCCATTATAACAATCATCCCAACCCAATGTGTGTTAGCAGACACATCACCACAAACTTCTGCACCCTTCATGGGTATGGTTCTGGAACGCACCATCACAAAAACGCATCCACACACATCAGTGAATCACATCCAAATCACAATACAACAACCACATCACATTTTCCTATATGTATACATGTCAATGTCCATCAAGACTACAAAATTGATGGTACAGATTGCCAAACTGCAATTGTGCAGAGGAAGTATGCGAGCTCATGATTATACTGCCATAGTAAAACACACATTCAATGGTTGTAGAGGCCTCACTCATTGGACTGAAATAATCACCTATCTCACACTGGCTTTCAATCACAATACTGTCCCAAGCAGTGACCAATACCATGCACCTCAACTAATAGGTGGAGGATCCAAAAGACACAGTGCAGGAGAGCAATGGACATGGAGACAACTGATGCCATACTGGAACAGCAGCTTCCAGCTACCAATGGACAGTCACATGCCAGATGACCTATTTGTCTTCACATATCATTGCAAGCCTGATGATGTAAAGGCCTTTGCAGCAGAGTCACACAACCTTGTTGCTGCACAAATTCCGTTAAATGAGTTGATAACTCTGTCAAGAAAGCATTTGACTGTCATAGCTAAAGTGCACAAACTCAACTGTACATCAAAGTCGTCTGTTGATGCACTTCGCAATGCTATCAAGGGTCATACATGTAATGTACATTGCAAGTCAATGGTCTCACTGTTACAGAAATGGAAAGGTGCTGTCAAAGGGTCTGTCCGGGTACAAAAATTTCGCAGTACTGTGAAAGTTGAATCACAAACAAACAAGAGCACAATTCAGTTCCCTCCACCACCACCAGATAAGAAACTTGTACAACAAGTCATTTCTCATTTCAGTGATGCAATTCAGCCACAGCAACATCATGAGACTGGCTGTGCAGTGTGTGGTTTGCTCACACCATTGACAAAGATGTATCCACTGACTTCAGTGGCAAAAATGTTGGTTGCACTTGAAACATATGGTATGGGCATTACAAGGAAAGAGAGACATTCAGATGATGATCCTATAGAGGATATTAAAGGCCCAATTCTTCTACCAAAGGCATCCCATGTATGTCACACATGCAAGTACATTTTATCTGAAGGTGCAGTACCTGACCATGCATTGGCAAATGGACTATGGATTGGAGAAATACCTGAGCAACTTCAGAAATTGACATGGGCTGAACGAACAATGATTTCCAGAGTCAATCACAATCGGTGTGTTGTCCGTGTCAAGGGGTCTTTGCAGAGCAAAATGATTGCAAATGCTGTCTGTCATACAATTCCTATACCAAAGGTGTATAATTCATTGCCTCCAAGTCCTGAAGAACTGGATGAAGTATTGGCTTATATCTATATTGGACCCACTAAGCCTGTAGCTAAAGACCACCATCGCACACCATTGTTAGTCAGACGGAACAAAGTTGCTGCTGCTCTTGAATGGCTGAAGTTGAATCATGTTGATTATGCTGACCTGCACATATCATACAATAATCTCAACATGTACTCTGATAACACTCCTCCTGTCATAGTTGATTACCACCCTGGAGATGGTGGCAAGGATGATGAAGCCAAGGCTGTGAATGATGTTGATGACAATGATGGTACAATGGAGGGTCCTTGCCCATTTGTTGTCCATGGCCTTGTGGGTGAGCAATTGACAGAAATGAGCACAAATGCACTGCGGGCATATGCACTGCAGTATTTCAAAAGTAAGAAGCACATGGCATTAGGTATTGGGCAATCAGAGCAACCAGAATCTCTCTTTTCCAACCCACAGTTGTACCCACAGATGTTTCCCTGGCTATTTCCATATGGACTGGGAGGTCCAGGTAACTCACGTGGATTCAAGCATATATCTGAGAGTGAAAGGAAACATCAACTGTTGATGTATCATGATAAGCGTTTTCAGACAGAACAATACTTCCCACTGATATCCTTCAACCATGAACAGATCAAGAACAGTACAACAGGTGGATTTCTGCTAGCTGAACAGCAAAAGTTCCCTGACATAGCCAACCGCATATTATCAATCAATGAGAATGTTCTTGTGGAACTTACAGAGAAATTGAAGGATGGCCACCACTATAAGCCAGAGACCCAGGCTGAGAAGGATTGCTACCAGCTCATACAGGATGTTGACCATGTTGCACACAAGGTACAAGGATCACTGACTAATAGAAAATACATGAGGAATGAAATATGGGCACTAACATCCTATCTTGGTGCTCCTTCATGGTTCATAACATTTGCACCTGCTGATGTAAAGCACCCTCTGTGCCTCTATTTTGCAGGAACGGATGAAGTGTACGAGCCAAACATACCAGATGCTGACAGTCGTACAAGATTGATTGCCGGGAACCCTGTGGCAGGTGCACGCTTTTTCCATGTTGTTGTAGAACTGTTTATCAAGCATGTACTTGGAGTTGGTGCAAACCACCCAGGACTGTATGGTGAAACCTCAGCATACTATGGCACAGTAGAGCAGCAAGGTCGGATGACACTTCATCTCCACTTAATGCTGTGGATCATGAACTCATTGTCCCCACAAGAAATCAGGGACCGCATCATGGACCCCACTTCTGACTTTCAGCAAAGGATGGTAGAATATCTTGAAGGTGTTCATCAAGCAGAGTTCATTGACACAACAATGGCTGATGTGGTAGAGAGCATGACACAGGCCCAGGAATCAAATCATTACCAAGATCCAACACTCACCTTGCCAATTTCGCCACCAACTACTAAACATGAATGCACTGGAGATCATACTTGTGATCCATGCACAAACATGGCCAAATGGTGGGACATGTTTAAGCAGACTGTCAATGATATCATCTACAAATCAAACCGTCACCAATGCTCCACAGGCCCTGGTGGCTGTAAGATGGATAAAAAGTCAGGAAAAATATTGAAAGTTTGCAAAAGGCGATTCCCTAGACCAATAAGGCCATGCACTGTAATGGACCCACACAGTGGAGCCTTGCTGATGAAACAGGGTGAAGCTCGCCTCAATAGCTTCACACCAGCATTGACATTCCTCTTACGCTGCAACAGTGATGTCACTAGCCTCCTTTCTGGAACTGCTATAAAGGCAATCACTGCTTATGTGACAGATTACATTACCAAGACACCATTGAAGACTCATGCTATGTTTTCTGCTGTAAGGACGGTGTTCACCCGGAATACAGAGCTCAGAACTGGTGATGGCACAGACCGCAAGATCCGTGCCCGCAAACTTATCACAAAGGTTGTCAATGCATTGTCAGCAAGTGCTGAGACAGGTGCACCAATGGCTTGCATGTATATGCTCAACCAACCAGACCACTATACCAGCCACAAATTCAAGCCTTTCTATTGGCGGAACTACAAGTATGAGGTCATGAAAGCATGGACAGAGGAGGACATTGTATACAATCCTGATGACAAACCTGTTAAGGTTGTGATTGGGAAGAGTAAGCAGAACTTTGTTGGTATTTCTCAACAGATGGACTATATCAACAGGCCTGAGAAATATGAAGATGTGACTTTGTATGATTGGATACGGTTAGCTGAGAAGCAAACTATGGGACGTGCCATGAAGAAAGCTACAAAGAAATCCAGTGCAACAAATGAGAAGTTGGCTCACATGAGAGATGCAAAGTTGACACAATCAATAAAGCCACACATCAAGGAACTGAGGGATATTAAACCTTTGCCAAGGCATCTAAAAAGTGTAAAACCTATGAAGCATGAATCAGAAAGTGAAGATGAACCACCACTTTACATCATGCACAAAGTACTCAAAGCTATGGAAGAAGAGAAGAACGAAATTGCTGCACAGTTCCTTGAGCCTGAACGATTCTTGCCTACCCATCCTCAATATGAGACACATATGGCAGTCATGTTACCAGAGCATTCTGCACGGGTCCCAAACTTTGTGGGTGGTGCTCTTCCTCGGAGGGACAAGGGGAATAGAGAAGACTATTGCCTTGTTATGCTCATGCTGTTCAAGCCATGGAGAACAGGATCAGACCTTAAGATGACAGGGCAGACATGGGATGAGGCCCTGACAGAATATACATTCACAGCACGTCAGAATGAAATCATGAACTTCTTTCATATCAAATATGAGTGCAATGACTCTAGAGATGATTTCTCAAAGCAAAGGGAAACAGAAGGAGATAATTTTGCATTTGATGATGAGCAGGATCAGAATGACATTGACACAGATGAATATGCAGATATTGTCCAAACTAGTCTCACTGGCGATGATGGGGCCATTGACTATGATCCAGAATGGGATGTCCTTGGAAAGAGAGCACTGGGGCGCATTGCTCAGATGCAACAAGCTGAGCATATTGCACACACGAGTGGATGGCTTGATGACAATGAAGCAGTTGGCCCTATTGAAACAAACAGATTCCAGCCATTGAGCTCTATGACAGGCTCTGAATGGAGATCAATTCTGACAGATAAACGGGAACAGATCCTACACAAACGAGATGAACAAGCAGCTTCTAAACCAGTTCACAAAGAACATTTTCCTGCCATTGGGAAAAACTCCCCAGACTATGTTGATTCTGTCAAACCAGTGGACTATGACTATATGTCTGTTAATTTTAGGGCTTCTGAACAGAAAAATCAAGAGACAATTGATGAAACAGCCAAGACTTTCCTACTCAATACAGAGCAAGAGCGAGCCTTCCGTATTGTTGCCAATCATGCTACTCAACCTCAAGCTGAAAAATTGAAGATGTACCTTGGTGGTATGGCAGGCACTGGAAAATCCCAAGTCATTAAGGCGCTCATTCATTTCTTCACAGTGCGAAATGAAGGCTACCGCTTTATTTGCATGGCTCCTACAGGCTCTGCTGCATCTCTTATATCAGGATCAACATACCACTCTGTGCTTGGGTTTTCAAAGTATGGAGTGACAAGCAATGGTACTTTGCGCAATGTGCGAGATCGGCTGAAGGATGTTGATTACATGTTCTTGGATGAGGTATCCATGGTTGACTGCAATCACCTTTATGACATATCAGCCCGTTTGTGTCACATATTCAGCAATGATGGTGAACCATTTGGTGGCAAGAATCTGATTTTTGCTGGTGATTTTGCTCAGCTGGAGCCCCCGGGCTCAGGTTATTCATTGTTTTCAGCCAAAGTGAGCAGTGTCAGACATACAACCTCCAGCTGGAGACAACAAGAGGCCTCACTTGGTAAGGCCATCTGGCATCAAGTAACTACTGTTGTTATACTCCGGCAGAACATGCGACAACTATCACAGACATCTGAAGATGCTAAGTTCCGCAAATTGCTGGAGAACCTCCGCTATAAGGCATGCACCATGGCTGACATCAAGTTTCTCAAAGACCGCATTGCTGGCCGGGGCAAGGGAAAGCCAAAGCTTGGTGATCCAACCTTCCGCAATGTATCTATGATTTTGTCATACAACTCCCACAGAGACCGCATCAATGAGCTGGGTGTTGCAAGATTTGCAAAGGACAATGGACAAGCCCTTGAGACCTTCTATTCATTGGATCACTATGGCAGCCCTGATGAGACACCTAAACAGCATAAATCCAAGAAGACTGCTAATGTAAAACGCAAAGTTGACAAGATCCACCCACATTTGCAAGAACAGCTCTGGGCACTCCCTCATAAAAATACAAACAATCATCCTGGGAAATTATCATTGTGCATTGGCCTTCCTGTCATGATCAAAGCCAATGAGGCTACAGAATGCAATGTCACCAATGGTGCAGAGGCTATTGTTGTTGGGTGGGAGTCTAAGCCACTGACTGATGATAAGAGGATGTTGGATGTTGTATTTGTTCAACTGACTGCGACACCAACACCTGTACAGTTGGATGGACTGCCAGAGAATGTAGTACCTATTGCTGCCCAAACAATAAAGATTCCATGCCTGATGTCAAATGACCGTACACTGACAATACACAGAACTCAAGTAGCCTTGATACCCAACTTTGCAATGACAGATTTCAACTCCCAAGGCAGAACAAGGACATACAATGTGGTGGACCTGCAAAACTGCAAAAATCACCAGTCTGTGTATACATGCCTCTCAAGAGGATCCAGCTATCAGAGAACCATCATTGTGCAAGGATTTGACAATTCAAAATTCATGGGGGGTGTTACAGGCTGGCTGAGACAGGAATTCAGAGAGTTGGAAATGTTAGATGAGATCACAAAGCTGAGATATGAAGGATCCTTGGATGCAGATGTACAGGGTGTAACTCGTGTTGCACTTATTCACTCATACAGGACAACAAAGGGTGCAAGATACATGCCAAAGTCAATGCACACTGCTTTGAAGTGGTCTGACAAGCAACCTTTTGATATAGAGAAACCATATAAAGAGGCAGAGTGGGATATTGTCAAGCACTCGAAAAGAGACAAGAATAAAGTGCACAATAATCTTGATGATCTAGCTGATACAGCAGCAAATGCTGACTGTAACAATGTCACCAAGTCTGAGCTGCTTATGGCACAATATATTCCTGCAAAGGGGACCACACAGCTGAATACTCTCAGTACAGATACTGGGCACAAAGGCAAGAGAAAACACAAGGATACATTCATTGATGAGACTACACCTCAAACACAGGCAAAGAAAAAGCGGATGATCAAAGAAGATACACATGAGCCAGTATGCTTCAAGTGGAATCCAAACACATATAGTTGTGCATTTGACACCCTGTTCAGCATATTGCACTACATATATCAAGAACAGAACTCCTTTTGGAATACACACATAGCACGCCAAAACATGCACCTGACCAAGTTCACAGAATTGTTGGACCAAGCTACAAAGAATGAGATTGAACTTGATGCTGTCAGGGACCAAATGCAGCAGATCTTGCATTTACAGGATCCTGACTCATTCCCTATTGAGGCCCCAGCAGGAACAGATTTGTATGCACTGTGTACCACATTCCTAGCAAGCAATGAACCACTCTACTGTGAGGCAAAAAGATGCTCATCCTGCCATGTTTGTCTCCAAGAAAGCTCATCCCAAAGCAAGCTTTGGACTCTAGACTCAACACTGTGGGAGGCACGAATTGGAAGGGGACATGCTACTCAATCACGGACAATGGCCCAATGGGTTAAGGCAGCAATGAAGCACAAGGCAGGAACTAGATGCCGTTTTTGTAATGCAGCCATGGTACATGAGGAGACCATCAAGAAGCCACCCAATTTCATGGCATTCAATCTATACCGAGCAGAAAGTACAAAGATTAGCAAGCATATATCTGTGCACACACAGCAAGGACAAATTGAATACAGACTAGCAGGTATCATTTACTTTGGTGGGTTCCATTTTACATGCAGGATTATTTCAGCTGACAACCATATCTGGTGCAATGATGGCCGGGACATGGGGTCTAGATGTGAATCACAGGGGACATTGAAGGCAATGGAAACACACATGCTCAAGACTATGGGAAATAGAAATGTGTCTGTGGCCATATATGTCAGGATAGATGATCAATGAAGTAATAATAATATGGACTGAAGGGATCGTAATGCCAGAAATGGCCCACTCCCCAGCAAGTACTCTATGCATTGAAACAACACATCCTAGATAGTCAAACAGTGTGGGAAAAGAAAACTGGCTTCAGAAATTGATTAGCTTGTTGTGCAAAGAAGCCTGTGAGTAAATCTTGTTTTGCACATCCTGGCCTAACTAGACATCTTTGGTCACTAGGGAATTGATACTATAGTCTATCAATGAAGTACTACCAGTCAATACAAAATTTCCTTATATGGCAATCTGACAGCCCGGCTGTTTTCACCGAGCTTCGGCCAAATCTTCGGCCCGAGAAAATGCCCAACTCTTCGGCCCGAGGCAGTACTCAAATCTTCGGCCCGAGAAAATGGTCAACTTTTCGGCCCGAGACAATGCTTGCCAGGTCAGTGAAGCAAAAGCTCGGCCGGCAAAATGTCTGGCTGCTTTGGCCGAGTTTTGGCTGTACCCTCGGCCCGAGACATTGTCTTTTCGGCCGGCAAAAAGTCCGGCCAGACCATTTGTAGTGGTAGGGCCTGAGGCTGGCCGGCTCGTTTGCAATGCTATATCTGTTGACCGGCCGGACTGTTTGCAGCGTGGACTGCCTGGCCACTTTGAATTCTGCCTGCTCCGGCCGCAACATTGGGAACGAGGGATGACCGGCCGGCATACCCTCCGGCCGGAGCATTGCAACGTTGGGTGAAAGAGGCCGGGCGGATCGTTGAGAAGTGGGGGGGGCAGCCGGGGTGTAGTCCGGCCGGAGCGTTGCAACGTCCGGTGAAAACAGGCCGGCCGCAACATTGAGGAGGGGGTGCGGGGCTGGCATGCACTCCGGCCGGAGTGTTGCAACGTACCGTGAAAACAGGCCGGGTGGATCGTTGGGGACAGTATTCAGGGATGGCAAGGCCGGCTGCAACGTTGGAGACGAGGCAGAGCCGGCCGGCATGCACTCCGGCCGGACCGCTGGCAACGTGCTGGCAACGACAACGTCTGCAACGTTGACCCGGACCCCTCCGGCCGGCGCCGGCCGCACCGTTTCAGACGGCCAGATCTCACTCCGGGTTTACCGTTCGGAACGTCAAATCTTACTCAGTAGGCTCCTTGACCATCCTCATCTCATGGAGGCGGTCCAATCCGATCCGTCCGAAGCTACCGACAGACTGTTTAACTCAATGGCGGAGGCCTTGGCCGTCGACGGCTCTTGTCACACCTTCACGGCCCGCGAAGTCTTGTCTGGCACTACGACGACTGAGAGCGGAACTGCCGCTCCTCTCGATCCTAGCCCAGACCCAGCCAGCGGGCCCAAGGTAGTGACACTTAGCCGGGTTCGCGACCCTCCGCCCGGGCACTCTACGGTAGGAGTAGCAGCCCTGTCTTTCCAACTACGATTCGGCAGCCGCTCGCACGACCCTGTCCAATGTCGCGCCGATTCCGGAGCTGACATCTCCCTGGTATCTCAAGAGTATCTGGACTCACTACCGCTAGCCACGCGCCCTAGGATCCGACAAGGCCTTAGGATGAACCTGTTCCAGCTAACCGGAGGCTTTCGCATCACTGGCTATGTACAGACGCAAGTCTACGTTGAAACAGAACAAGGACATACTCTCAAGATGCTCGCCGAATGCTACGTGGTTCCGGGAATGTCCTCTTCATTGCTACTGGGAGAGGACTTCCACGTCAATTACGAGTTAGGCATCACGCGAAGTCTTACCGAAGGATCAGCCATACAAGTCGGCGACACTGGGTACTCCATACCGGCCTCCTCTGCCGTCCGCAAAGACCGTCCTCCCATCAAGATCATAGTGAAGGGGGCCGACTCCAGCTTCGTCAGAGCCAAGTCCCATCGGCGACGCCGAGCCGACCGCTATCGTGAACGAACCAAGAAGTTGCGTCCCACTGCCATCGCGACCCAAGACGTGCGAATATCGCCGCACTCTTGTCGTCCGGTGCCGGTCCAAGCATCCTTCCTCGAACGCAAATCCTGGTTCATCGAGAAAACTGTCCTCGGACAGTCTGACGGATCCTTCCTGCTCACTACTCCGTCCATCATCGATGCCGAACATGTCTATGTGTCCGTCACCAACCCGACGGACCGACCCATCATCGTTCGCAAGGGAGAATCCCTCGGTCTTCTTCATGATCCTGCCTTATACTTCATGGATGGCTCGCCGGACTTGGAAGCCCATGCACTTGCCGTGCAAACCCTCATCCGTAGCGCGATGGAGCCGCGCGCGGATGCAGTGAACGATACGGCGACCGCACCCAGAGAAGACGAATGGGGACCTAAGACAGCTGAAGTACCGGATCCCGAGACGTACCCATCCGACAAAATCACCGAGATCTTGGACATAGGACCGGAGTGGCCTGCCGACGAAAGGGAACGACTTCTGCGCATGCTGAAAGCCAATCAGGCAGCTTTTGCCTTCGACGGACGTCTAGGGCACAACCCCTCCGAAGTTGAGATCAAACTTCAACCAGACGCGAAACCCGTGTCGCTACCCATGTACGGTGCTTCCCCGGCCAAGCGTTTAGTCATAGACAAACAGCACGACTCCTGGATGTCCCTAGACGTTATCGAACCTTCCAACAGTCCCTGGGGGGCCCCGGTCCTGATAGCATACCGTAACGGCAAGCCTCGTCTGTGCGTCGACTACCGACGCTTGAACGCCATCACGATCCCAGACGAATTCCCTATTCCTCGCCAAAACGAGATCCTACAGGCCCTCACGGGAGCTCAAGTGCTCACGTCTCTAGACGCACTAGCTGGATTCACGCAGCTTACCATAGCGGACGGTGACCGAGAGAAGACTGCCTTCCGAATGCATCGCGGGCTATTCCAATTCAAGCGTCTCCCCTTTGGACTCAGGAACGGACCTTCGGCCTTCCAACGAGTTATGCAAGGCGTCCTAGCCCTGTACTTATGGCTGTTCGCCCTTGTCTACATCGACGACATAGTGGTCTACTCGCGGTCCTGGAACGAGTACATTACGCACCTCGACAAGGTTCTAAAAGCTATCATCTCTTCAGGCATCACTCTGTCTCCTCCTAAATGCCACTTCGGATACACATCGATCCTGTTACTCGGTCAGAAGGTCTCTCGCCTCGGGTTTTCCACTCACCAGGAGAAGGTGCGCGCCGTGATGGAACTAGCCCGTCCGAAGCGCGTACCGGAACTTCAAACCTTCCTCGGCATGACGGTGTATTTCGCAGCATACATCCCGTACTTCTCATTCCTCGTCTCCCCACTGTTTGAACTGCTGAAGAAAGACCATAAGTGGGAATGGACTGCCGACTGCGAAGTAGCTTGGCAGAACGCAAAGGATGCTCTCCAGTCCGCGCCAATACTCGCTCATGCGATCCCGGGATTACCGTATAGACTCTACACCGACGCCTCCGACATAGCCCTAGGAGCTTGCCTTCAGCAAGTCCAACCCATCCGCGCAAGCGACCTCCGCGGTACACGCATGTACGATCGTCTAGCTAAGGCCTTTGCAGACCGAGCTCCGATACCCGTACTGGTCGCGAAGACAGCGCGCAAGTTCGATGACTGCCCACCTCCGTCGACTTGGGCCCCCACCTTAGACGAAACCATCGTCCATGTGGAGCGTGTCATCGCCTACTGGAGTAGAACCTGCAAGCTGGCGGAACGGAATTATTCTGCTACTGAGCGCGAAGCTCTGGCCGCGAAGGAAGGATTAGTACGCTTCCAACCGTTCATTGAAGGCGAACCTGTCACTCTCGTCACGGACCACGCCACATTACAATGGGCACGCACGTACGAGAACACCAACCAATGACTCGCGGCCTGGGGAGCGGTGTTCGCGGCCTTCGCGCCGAACCTCGACATTGTACACCGCGCGGGGCGCGTTCACTCTAACGTCGACCCACTCTCTCGATTACCTCGCGACCCGCCGGAACATCAATCTCCGTGCTTCGACTCTTCCATACCCATCGTCACTGATCAGACCACGGCCGCCGCTACGGAATCAGCGGCTGAGCGAGCTCCCGCCCCTCGCATGGCGGCCGGAGCATCATTAGCGACATCCTGGGACGAAGTACTCGAAGAGACGCCACCCACAGGATGGCAAACTCACACGTACACGGACAACTCAGGCCTCAGCGTGGAGGGCGAGAGGGAAGAACCGGACGGAACGAGTGAGGGAGAAATAATGCCTCCCCATTTCGAACCGTTCAAACAAGACACAAGTTCACCTTACGCAGAGAACCGGAGTCTACAAGTTGAGGGAGATGCCACGCCTCCCCAGCACGTAAACGAAGGAAGGAACGGAACGAGTGAGGGAGAGACAATGCCTCCCCACGTCAAACCGTTCAAGACGGCCAATCCAGTTCAAACCCGATCCCGCAATGCCAAAAGAGCTGCGGAGAATCCAGCGAACACCCCGAACGAATCACTCAGGAACTCAGGGGTTCAGGACGCTCCGCGCGATCCCAGTTCTCTGTATTATCCAGACGAAGACGTATCGCATCCCACCATGCTCATCAAAATGAGTAAGGAATATCGAAACAAATTCGTTCAAGGCTACGCGAAAGACCCATTCTTCAGAGACAAATGGAAGAAGGCCCGTGAACCGAATATACAACGTTTCGCGGGACAGTGCGTCTTCATGGACGACTACGGACTGCTCTACATGCGAACTGGATCCGATCCCGCGAGGTTATGTGTGCCACGCTCGGAAGTATTCCCGCTAATTGCTCGGATACATGACTCGCCTCACGAATCCGCGCACGAAGGCGCAGCGAAGTTAGCCCTCCGGATCAACGTGCGGTTCTTCTGGCCCTCACTACGCAAGGACGTGCTGGAATACGCTGCCTCTTGCGACGTCTGTCAAAAGACGAAGTCCGATCACCGAGCGAAAGCCGGGCTCTTACGTCCGAACCCAGTCCCTAACTGTCCTTTCGAATGGATTTCGTTTGATCTCATCACTGGCCTACCCTTCTCGGAGGGATTCGATGCTGTGTTCATAGTGGTCGACAGGTGCACCAAGCACGGACTCTTCATCCCGTGCAAGGGAACCCTCAATACCATCGAATTTGCCCACCTCTTCGTGCTACATGTCGTCTTCCGCTTCGGTATTCCCGAGCATATCATCTGCAACCGAGACGGTCGATGGATATCCGAATTCTGGAGAGCAGTCGCTGTTGAACTTGGCATCCATCTATGTCTATCGTCATCACATCATCCTCAACACGACGGCCAAACGGAGATAGTCAATCAACGACTAGAGACTATGCTTCGAGCTTACGTTCAAGGCGACCGGACGGGATGGGCCAAGTGGTTGCCCGCCCTCACCCACGCGTACAATTCCTCGATACACTCCGCCACTGGTCACTCACCCTACTTTCTACTCTACGGCTACGATCCTAAGGGCACTCTCGACTTCCTTAACAAAGATAGCCGATACGTGGAACGTCCGCTGCTTGCTAGCGAGCGCGCGACCGACTTCGTTATCGAAATGGAACTTCATCGTCAGAAGGCTCGGGATGCCTTAGCCCTCGCTCAAGAACAAGCCGCCCGTCAATTCAACAAGGGCTGACGCGTGGAGATCTTCCCCGTTGGATCCCGAGTCCTGGTCAACCCTCATTCACTGGAGCTCGTTGACGTCAAGGGCACCGGCAAGAAGCTTGTTCAACGCATGCTCGGACCGTTCACGGTGCAAGAGCAAGTCAACCCTTTAGTTTACCGTCTCGCTATCCCCGACACGTACCCTATGAATCCTGTCATCAACCTCGAACATCTACGACGCTACAGAGGATCGTCATCAGTACCCGTCGAAGTCGACCGTCCCATCCTCCCTGATCCGCGCAACTCGGACCTTCTCGCCTCTGAAGAATTCGAAGTCGACAAAATAGTAGCGTGGAGAAGGAACAAGTCCCGAAGTAATCGCCTCGAATTCCTGATACGATGGAAAGGCTATAGTCCCATTCACGACACTTGGGAGCCGGCTTCTCATCTCCAGAACACGTTCGAGATTCTCAGGGAATACAAAGCCGCGGAAGGACTAACCCGCTGATAGAATTACTTTTCTCTTTTCTAATCTTCTTTTTCTCTCTAGTAGCTAGATTAAAATACTTTGCCACCCACGAATCTCTCTTACTATACTGTATTTACCTCTACGTTACTCCTTTCCCTTAATTTCTAGACGCCTCCTGACGCGACGCGAGCTGTCACGTGAGCATGTCGCGGAAGTTCGAAAGCCACAAGAGCACTAAGCGTGCTTGTTCCTCCTTCATCCCTTCCTCCGTGAGCTAGTGATTTTGCCGCTTCTCACTCTCACTCCGTAGCCTAAGCAAACGTTTGGAACTGCCGAACTTTGCTCAGCTACCTTCGTGATTCTCCTTGTCTTCTCCTTCTTCGTCATGTCTGCCTCATCCCCTGCCTCGTCCTCGCTCGGATTCCGCACGTCGTTGCACTATCCGCGGGATTTCCAACATCTCCCGGTCCGACTTCGAGCCAGTCAAACCGCTTGGGAACTCTACCGAGCTCACCGCGACGTCCGTTCCGCCCTCCCCTTGGGCGACGGGTCATTCGCTGTGTCATCCAACGCCCCGTATGTCCCGTCGCCACCCCCAGGGACAAACGATCAGGAAGAAGTTTACGCGGATGGGTGCACAAGCTGGTTCGAGCCTGGGTACCACGCCCAACACTGGAACAGCGCGTTCGAACATCGTGCATTCATTTACGAATCACCTGAGAATGATGAAGGAGTGGACGCTGCCTTCGTTCTGCTCGACTTCAAGCGTGGTCGGTGCCCAGTCTCCTTCCGCGTTTCCTGCATCCAAAACGGGACGGGCACTCCCACTCGCAACTTCTCACTCGCATTGCGGACCCTCTACGACGCGGAACTCCATCGCGCCGAGGAATTCTACAACCTCGACCGTTCCCCTCCCTCCGGTTTCGTCCTTCGTCCCACTTGCGTCCAAGACGCGCTCTACGACTTCGGCAGCCTCACCGTCAATCTCCACGCGATGCGCAAGATCGTTGCTCTCATCCAACGCCATCTCCTGGAGCTGCGAGCTTACGCGCTTCACGCCTACCTACGGCGAGCCTTCGCCGAGGGATGCTTTTCAATCCCGTGTCCGGATTTGGTGGGAGTGGGGTGCTGGGTAGATGAAAGGAATGAAGAGGTACGGAAGCGTCTTGCTTGGTGTGGGGTCCCAGTTTGGTACGTTACTTGTTCGCCTCCCCCCTCAAGCCAGATTGTCTCGACCATAGCCCCAATGGACTCTCGACTCTCATGGGAGGAATGGGACGTGACAGAGCATGCACCGCCGCAGCCTGTGGGAAGGCGCACTCGTCAATGTATGCGTCAAATTCAAGCTGACCTCGATAGCGCTGAAGAGGACTCCGACCTCGACATGGGCGACGCCAGACGACGAGATCGAGGCCCTCCGCGACGACCATCCCCGGCGCCCCCCATCCCCGCTCCCTCAGATCGACGAGACGAGGCTAGGGACGGAGCCCCGTTCGACAACTTGGACGAAGGATGGGTCAATAACCCCGCCCTCGGGTCGCTCTCGGATTCGACGCCTCGAGCCCGGACCCCGTGCAGAGAGCCGGAACTGCCGCTCCTGCGCGAGGATCCGCTCACATCTTCGGTCTCCTCGAAAACGCGCGGAGAGTCGGAACTGCCGCTCCCGCGCGCGGATTCGCCCATGGCCGTATCACTCCCGGCGAGCCCAGTCGAGTCGCTCGCTCCGCTCCCGACGGCACCATCTCCGCTGTCGTCCCCTCCGCGTCCCTCCTTAGACAAGGGCAAGCAGCGGGCTAGTTCTCCATCACCTCAGCCCTACGGGAGATACGGTCCGTCTTTCCGCCGCCCTCCCTCTCCGGACCCTCGGCCCATTCGCCGCGCGCTATCTCGATCGCGATCTCCTCGGCCCTATCGCCCTCGACCTCGGTCGCCTTACCACGCTCGGTCTCCTCCTCGTCCTCTGTCGCCCCGAAGAGGTGGCGACTTCTACAGGCCCTCCCAGTCCGCGGGGTACTCCCGGCGTGCAAATCGAGACGGGATGCACCGAGCCGCGCCTCAAGAAAGGGCACCTAGAGCCACCAGAGGGCGTAGTCCTGCTCGAAGGATAGATTCACCTCGTCCGCCCCGTTCCCCTCCGCGCGAGCCTGCCCCTCGGAGCAGCTCCAACAACACCGGCCGACCTTTGGCGGAGCGGATACATCCCGCTCCCGTGCCTGCCTCGGCTCGTTCGTTGGAGGAACGTCTACGGGTCGACGAGACGAACCTCCCTAGATCCGCTCCCGTCGCGGACACCAATGAGCCCGGTCCCTCGCTCCTCTTGCGCTTAAGCGACTCCCGATCTCTGCTCGCTCACGTAGGAACGACACTCGAGGAACGACTCTCCGACACCCGCGTAGCTGATGGCGAGAACGACACTCCCGCCGACGATGACGGAGACAAGGGCACCCAAGGCCTGGATCCAGAGGACCCACCCGCGAACCCCTACCGGATCGTCACTCTTCCGTCAGGATCCCCTCTGAGGATGCGGCTCGACCTTCACTCGCCGCTCGAAGTGGTCGAATACATTCGCCGACCCTTCGAGCGCAACGAGTTCACGCCCGCTCCTCGCCGACCTTGGGAAAACGAGCTCGGACCGGAACCACAATTCCCTGCGGACGGGTTACTCCTCTTGCCCTCGCCTCAGCTTCTGCTCGGACGACCCGACGACCGGTATGGCGCCCTCTTGATGTGGCTCAAGTCAAGGGACACGCAAGTGGCCGCTCTTGACCTTCCGCCCGGTGAGTGGGAGCCGCTCAAGTTCAAGGTCTGAAAAGGCCGTCTTCGTCCCGACGCTGCTCTGAGTCGTACGCTCAAGACTTGCCCTCTCCGCCCACTCCCCGCGACCGAGCTTCCGTACCACCGCAACCCTCATCCGGACAAGGAGGACAAGGAGGTATGGGAGCTCCGCACCTTCCACTTCCGATCGAACGTCGAGCGCATCGTAGCGGCCAAGCACCCAGCCATGCGAGGCGCGACGTCTACGACCGCCCATGGCGTGCTTTGGGCCGGGATCCGCGACAGAATTCGTCGAGTCTGGGGGGCCGGACTGTCCGTCTACCCCTCATACTACGAACCTCGCTACCTCGACAGCGAAGACGATGTGGTGAGGCTTGCGCACTGGTGCACCTTGGGGAGGGTTCTCTTGGAGTTGGACATTCGGGACGATATTGCGAAGGACCTGAGACTCGCGGTGGGGGGCCCTGTTACGGATGCGGCGGACAGGGTGAATTCCGCGTACCTACATATATATTCTTCACTGTACAATAACCGCGACCCCCATCTCTTTCTTCCTCGTCCCGTCTAGCAGTAATACTTTGTCGTATCACGTGTACATCTAGGCGCGCGTCTCCGCTGAAGGCGCGCGCCATACGAAATAGACGCACAACTTCTTAGCATCCTACATCCTCGTCCGAGTGCGATTTCGCCGCGCCGTACGAACTAGGATCAAGTCCCTCCAACGTCGGGCTCCTCGCCCTTCGTCCTCGACACGAGCTCCTCGCTGCGCTGTCCCTCTGAGTCGTCTCCTCGTCGACCCCGCCGTCGAGCTCCTCGCCGACTGCCAGCGCGCTCCTCGTGCAACGACCTCAACGCGGGCTCCTTGCCTCGTTCACGCCTTCAGCGGGCTCCTCGCCCCGTCACGACCTTTACGACCTTCACGTCCTCAAGTCCGCGGTCTCCTAACGACCCACGTCCTCGAGTTCACGGCCTAGTCCGGCCCCCTCGCGAGAGCGCGAAACCGCTAACTCTCACATATGGGAGTGTCCTCCTTCTGAATCCTGAATCCTAAAGAGAAATTTCTGCAACGGGACGTGTTCAGTGCGTAGTTGAATGAGAATACTTGCCTGTCTCCGGGGTAGCCTCTCTGCCAACTTCCCATATTTCTTCAATGGCATCTCCGGGTCAATTTGGTCCATCCGTTCTGCTCTCGGGGACGCCTTCCACTCCTCCTTCGCCATCCGCCTCAGCCTCTCGTTTTGTGTCTGTCTGACCCTGGATAAGCTCACTGGGAGCGTGTTTTTCAGCCAGCCCAGGAGGTCCTCGACCGGGCTACTATCCCCTTGTGCCGCCTTCTTCGCCTCCACGTCTGCCATTTCGTTCCCAATCCGCCGTAGTGACAATTAGAAACGTGAAGTGAAGCCAATACAAAGACATGTCAGCTTCGCAGCTAGAACAACGAGAGAGCTGGAATAGACTTGAAACACATGAAGGGATGGGACGGAATCACCGCGAAGGGCTCGCCAGTGGTACATCTCATGGCAAAGGGTTACAGACAGCGCATGCAGTTAACTTGAAGCCTTGTTCATCAACTTGAAGCCGTCAGGAGTAGGCGATGATCAGAAGCGGATGAAAGCCAGGGTTTGACGTGCGGAAACGGGTGGCACTAGCAGTACAGCATGTAGAAGCTGGTGCAGACAAGACTGAGACTGCGTGTAAGGGTTTGAACTGGAATGAGGGTGCATACTGCACATACTACCTACGCCGCGTGGACCTAGCCGATGACGACCTTGAGCGGCGAGTGGAAGGCTACTTCACGGAAAACACCTCAAACACGATCCAAGCATTTGCTGATTGTTCCGCGTAGCGTAGTTTGGCAGGACTGGTCGAAGGGCTGAAGACCGTCTTAACCAGGTACGCATGACGGCCCAGGGTTGCAAAAGATGGGTGAACACGAACCTGAGTACCAAACGTCACATACATAGGTGTTTGGCACCTGCATTGAAGACACTACAAGCTCTTCAAATCGCCCACACGACGGAACAGGCGAGAGCAGCAGAGGAGGAGGAGGGCCCCAGAGATCTAAAGAAGTCTGCGGTCGTGTTAGTTGAAGTCCAGAGCGAAGGTGGAGGAGCGCGCGGCCGTGGACACCAAGAATATCCTTCGAGCACCTCTTGACCACGCTTGCTGAGTCGTTTCATCTCTTAAACTTCTTTTGATCACACTCCAAGCACTCTACAAGCAGCCTCTGATAACTAGTCTTCTCTAGAGCTACGGCGATCAGATATGATGATGTTCTGCTGAGCTTTGACTGAATGTGCGGCCTAGGACTCATGCTCGCGCGCGCCCATCCTCCGGAGCTCTTTCACCCTCCGTCGCACGACGAAAACCAATGGGTCTATTCAAGTTTGAGTGCTACTCCAGTGAGTTCCTGTCTGTTCTACGTCTGATATGGCCTTGGCCTGAGCGAAGGATACATACTTGACAGCTTTGTCCTTGTTCTACGACGAGAAGACGCGGCATCGCGGTCGAACAGCTCCTGGTCTAGATCACAACTTGAGAGGCCTTGGGAGATATAGGAAGGAGTAGTGGTTCTAAGGCACATAAGTAAGCTCTTCTTTTTGGTGGATGCGGTTCATCATCTGCCAGTAGTGCACCAGCCTCCATCGACCGCACCGCGAGTGTCCGTGGCATACTTACCCTGACATGACATTGCAACAGCTGTTAAAGCACGGTCAGCGCCGTTCCTCCTTGCCGAATGCTCCAACGCCATAACACGGTTTTAGCGCAACCAGCGTGGCGACTTCGTTCAAGGCAAGGCAATTCCTGTTCTTCAAGTAACTTGAGCTTACATCTCGCCACCGCCGACGCAGAGCCCACCAACTGAAATATGTGGCAACAAGAACTAGTACTCTGCCTCACCTACTGGTTCATTGCACCCGTCGGTACAGGGCATTCTAATGGCAATTGCGGCCAATGCAATGTCATTAGACTTGCACCCTTGCAGGAAGGCTCGTCACCTGCCGACCAGTGCTAGACAACTCGTCGTGACTGCAACGCTACAAAGCATTCCTGCGGAAGTCTTCCTATTTGCCAGGTGAGGATAGCTTGTGTACTTCGTACCTCATTGACGCGCCATCATTCCAGCTCGATCCTTGTGAATCTTTTTCTGCAGGCTCGAGGGTCCCGGTCCTGTGCCAGCACGAACGTAGTTCACTACATCTCGATAAAGTGTTCAACCAACAGAGTTCTATCAGTAGCAAGGTCGGCGACGACGCAACAAACCTGTTTCCTCTCCACGTCGCACTAGCCGGGCTCCACAACCAAGCATTGGTGAGTTCCAAATTTTATTGCATGCGTACGAGATGCTTACGAGATCCAGTGAGCTCCGGATACCAGGAGGTGAGTTTACACCTGTCACAACTTCTCTGACCCTGTTATCCGGAGCTCATGCGTCCGAACACTGGCTTCTTCACCTGGTGTGCATTTCATGAGGTGGCTGCTCCGAGTTGCCTTTCCGACGGGGTCCACTCCTCTCAACGTGTCATTTATGCGGACGAGATTCTCCGTATATGTGGCTCGCCACTCGTCACTGGATGGCCTTTCTTGCGCTGCTCGGTCGCCGCTGTGTGATTTAATTGACTCGTATATCTGCTCGTACGGGGTGCCCAAACGCCTACTATTCCCATGTCACTGCACCCAATCGGATCTGTACCTTTTGTTGACGTTGACCCCCGCGTGCATATGCCACGAAATTCAAACACATCTCGTTGAATAGTAGCGGTGGGCTGGATCAAAGAGAGTATGACAATACAGCTATACTCAGGCTACCAGCACCGCTGACAGGTTTCACGTCCAACACATCGAGTATCATACATCCAGTATGCAGAATGCTTCTCACAGGAAACTCATACTATGATATACTCTAGTCCGTCGATTGTTCACCGCGTAGTCTCAGACTCAGCGTCGGGGTCAGATACGGATCGCTGAGAGCTCTGGGGCTGATCCCGGCCTCTGCTGCCGCATCCCGCATCCTGTTGCGTTACTGCTCTTCGTTGTCCTTCGAGCGCAGGTCGCCCGCTAGCGCGTGGAACGCGCGTTGTGAGAGGTAGGCCTGGGATCTCTGTTAGCTGAGTACAGTGCGAAGTGAGCTGCAACGTGCCTGGCTCATGGATGCGTCCAAACGAAGGAGTGTTGGTCCAGGGCCGGTGAGTATAGCCTCGGTGTGTGTCCGCAGTGGTCATTCGCTGACTGGACTCGGCGCGCGTGCTGCTGAGCAGGGAGAGGAGGAAGAGGAAGCGCGACACCCTGCGCCCCAATTGTGACGTTCGGTGTTGAGTGCGCCGTGCACTGAGCTGAGCAGAACATTGCACCGAGCAGGACACGGCACCTTGCCGTGTCCCGCGATCAGGACATGACTTGCAGCAGTCAAGGAGACATTCCTTGGTGCCGACACGAGGCAGTAGCGCAGTGAGAGTTGACGAAATTGCAGTGAGGGCTGACGAGAGCACAGTGAGGGCTGATGAGAGCGCAGCGAGCAAGTCGGGGCACCCGTGTACTAGGCCGTGGATCGCGGTGAATGCGCGAATGGCGGCTTTATGGGTATTGTCAGACTCGTCGTTGTCGTGCGCATCAACTGGTGTAGCGAGACCGAGGCATCGACAGCGTGGGGACGGGGCGCAAGACGGCGGGAGGACGAAACAGTGATAATGAGTGCACAACGGAGTCCAATGCAAGACGAGTTGAGGACGCGGTCAAAGAGCGGAGCACGTGCAACGCGGCAGCCAGCCGAGGGACCAGTGGACAGAAAAGGAAGGTGGTAAGGCCAGGCCATTACATGCCCAGCGGCTAAGTGATCGATCCGACGGGACAGCGAGTGCTTTCACCCGCTGCCAGTTTTCTTTGTGACACCCACCATCCTGTTGAACTTCGACTATTTTGGGTGTTACACTACAGGATAGGACTTATCCTTTACTCGTTATGGACTTATGTTCTTCGTTGCTACATATTACATACATTTCTTACGGACTTGATCCAGACCTGTAGCACATGATTTGTTCTAGACTTGTACGGAACATTCCAGTACTTTCCAGTACTTTCCAGGATGTTCCAGGATGTTCCTTGATGACATCACTATGACATCACTATGATATCATGTTCTAGGACTATCCAGATTCCCTTCCGGTCCTGTCCAGTCCTTTCCAGTATGTTCTATCCATGGTGCAATCATCACATCATTGCTCATTGCACCATTACGATGTCATGCTACTACACTTACTGTACGATCATGTGATGGCTCTCTCATGTGTATATATACTGGGCTGGATGCCCCTGTAATGTAACGATCTCTCCTCTCGTTCTACGCCTCTCTGAGTCTTCCCTCTCAGTAGCTTTGAGATCTGTTGTAAGTCCTCCATTCTTACAGTCCTTGTTTGCTCCCTTGTAGTTTTGCCTTCAGCTACGCCACACCACTCCTTGTTCAAAACATCCCACTCACATTCTGTCATTATTGGTGCACTCAACGGTCACCTCTCATTCAAAGTCCAGTAGGAATGCCGGGGTATATTGGCATGGGCTTGCCCGAAATCCAGCGGATGATTTGGCAGGAGGTGAGATGTCATGCTTCTTTGTAGCATTTTGTTTCAAACGAATGGTTAGGTCTTCCCCCGGTTACCACCCCTGGCTCCAGCTTCCATATTCTGTCCTTATCCCCAGACAGTGATGCTTGCATCAGAAGCAAGGTCACGATTGCCTTGTGCCTCTGCCTTTTTCCAAGCTTTCCAAGTTGCTGGACATCAATTATACACCAACATGTTCTTCATCTCAGATGATGCTCTGCAATCATTTCTTGACTATCGAAATCTCAGGAATCATGATGTTCAGGTGGCTTCCCACAGAAGTATTGGATTGCATGCATATAATTGACTCCTCTGCTCAGGACAAACTCTTGCTTGTATCCTGCAAGTGGGTTGAAACCATCAATATACTTCTTCCTGGAAGTTTGGAGGGTGGCAGAACCTTTTCAGTTGCCTGGCAGGAGTCTAGATTTGCCTGGTCAAACCTCACCAATCTCACCAATCTCACCAATCTCACCATAAGCTACCATCACAAAGAACCTGCTCCACTGCTGCCCTACATGTGCATTGCTCCCCATCTTCCTCCCACACTTCAAGTCCTCAGACTCAGGCCACACAATGTGCATGAATATGATCTGGTATGTCTCCTTCATGGTCTGAAACAAATTGCAACTGAAGAACTACAGACCGCTATCCTCTACCCAATCAGAGGTTTCTGGACAAACAATGCATCATGGTCTTCTCAAATAGCTGCATTCAAGAATGTCCCAGTTTTTCATTTCCATGCCAACTTCTACCTGATATGGCCTCCTTATTCCACTGGGGTCAATGACAAGTTATGTACTAGGTGGACCACTGGTCTGAGGGGTAAGACTGCCATGCTACCCCTACACAGGATTGTCTGAGTTGGCTAATTGGTCTCTTGAAGATGGAAAGATGTCCAAGATAGTGATCAGTGTTGCTGCAGACTTGGATGAGCAATATCTGCTTGGAGCTATTGAGGAGCTCAGAGAGGAACAGCATCTCACCAACCAGGAATTGATCAACCAGGGCTACAGGGACACAGATTGGGATTTAGATCACTGTGATATGGAGTTCACATGTGCATACACCTGGAGAAGGCTGGACTCTGGAAGGTGGGATACATCAATACTTCCCATGGATCATGCAGAGGAGGCTGTCACATATATGAAGTCTAGCTCATATATGGCACTTGAGCTGGACAGTAGGATATAGAATACTGTCTCATAGCAAGGCACTTCCTCGACATGGTGCACGTGGCTACCGTCCTCCCGCCGCGGCGACTGCGACTGCCAGTGTCGTTCCTTCTCTATCCTCATCAGCAAAGGCTCCGTTTGTCTGAGATGCCCTAAGGCATCTAAATGGGTCTGAGCGATCTAATTACCGTCTAAGGCACCTAATGTGTCTAGCACTGTCTAAGCTTCTCGTGCACTAACAAGCCCTTCAGCAGAAATAATAACATTGTGCGCGTTTTAATTGTAGTGCAAATCAATCATACACAAGTACGACAATCCAGTTATACTACACTAGCTATGATACACCGAACTTTCTGGCCGCATTACCCACATCGTCGCAACAAACTTGAAGGCAATACTCACACGTTCACCCCGTTATACGGCCCGTCATGGTCTGACACATTGCCATCCCAGAGATACGGCACGTCCCCGACGATGCACTCCGTGCTCGGGTTATCCTGGCTGGTACACGCCGCCCACTCGCCCGAGTCTTCGATGTGCACCTCCGAGTCTCCAGACGGGTGCATGAAGCCGAGGAACATGCCCGGCAGGATTGGGTCCGGGTCTTCCTCATTGTTGATGTGCGTGACGGAGTTTGACTGGGCATCGACGTAGTCCGCGAAGGCTTGGTTCCCGACCCGGGGCAGGCCATACCCGACGAAGGTGAAGGTCACGTTGAAGATGTGGAGTGGGAGGTAGACGGTGTTGAGGAGGGAGATCGCAGTGCCTGTGGTGCACAAAGTTTGTGTGAATCAGCTAGAGTGGGCGTGAGGATGCGTACGTAGTGAATGTCCAATGACGTGTCCGCCTTGCAGTCCGAGCCGCAATCCCAAGCGAGTGTCGCCGCCGGTGCACAGTACACCGCGCCCGCATACCACATATACGGCGTGAACACAATGATCTACGCTGTCGAGAGCGCGGTGATCGACTGGCGCGCGGGCGCAGGCTGGGTGCGGGCTTGGCGGACGCAGTGAGCGTGGCGTACAGGAGCGCGGCACTGAATGCGACGGCGTGCATGGCTCAGTGCTGCTCAGGGTGCAAAGGAATCTTCGACTTTACTGCCTTTTCGCTCGCGTTCTTGGCTCATGCGGTACCCCACCTCCTTGTCCTGGTCTGCGCCCTCCTCCACGTCAGTCTCGCTCCCCTGCATCCAAAAACCGTGGCAGTTTGATTACCCCAGAGCGATCCGAGTCTTGCATGCGCACTGCGTGATGCGCGAGTTCGATCTAGTTTGCCTGTCGCCTGAGCCACACGACCCCAAATTTGTATGTCCAGTCAACGATGCAAGTGTTTTGTAGTGCGGTTGAGACAGGGTTGGGCGGTCACGGTGACCAATTGAGTTGCAGAGTTCGTCGAGGTGGTGGCAGTCAAGAGCAGCCCGCCGGATGCTAGTAGCGCTCGGAGTCCGGGCCCGCTTGCGACGCTCGACGCTGTTAGTGTCGACTCGGAGGCTATGATGTTCGGTACTCCCGATGCATGAGTGTGCGAGCACCGCCTGAGTACAAGTCGCCACTGGGCACTGGCAGCGTCGTCAGTGAGTATTAGTACCGCGAACCGGCGACGGTGGGGAGTCTTGTACAAACCTGCCCTAAACTTCCCGCTGCCACGTCAACATCGTCGTCTTCTCCTCCAACCACGTCTTCCCCATAAGTAACCCTAGCATTGTCGCCTTATGTTCTCCATTCACCTAAAACTATTCCATCACCATCTTCAGACCTCGACCAAGGGAGTACCGGGTGCATCAAGTCTCTCAATGTTGAACATCCGGCAAGCGAAGTCGAGCATGGATTACTGCAGAGAGAAGTAAGTTTGGTAACCACAAATGTATTCACCTAGTTTAGTATTGCCCCTCGCCGCCGTTCGGCTGCTGATCTTCCGCCTTTGCATCACTCAAGTCTTCCCCGCTCAAACAGCATATTCGGTACCTGTCCTCGCCAGCGTGTACATATCGCCACATCGTACTTTAGCAAGCTTCACCAATGATGCCCTGGACGAAGCGAAGATCCTCCACATGGTGCCGTCCTTTTGCTCACCATCGCGCAATGGGCAGAAAAATCGAGGGTGGGTCGTACTGGTACGCGGAGTTGCAATGACATGTCACATATATCATTATTCAGGTGATCCAGGTCGACAACATAAGGTTCCCTTGTGCTCTCAGTTGCGCGAACGCTGGTGAGTTGTCAATGCACACTGTCTTGTTGCTTACAGGGTCATTCTGTGAGTTTGCTGATGGGATTGCAGTCACCCTTGGCATATCTTGCGCTCGCGCTCAACAGTGGATGCGGAGATAGGCATGGTGAGTCAAAGTGTTCAAGTTGAAGCGGATCACTGATGAGCGCTCTCCTTCGACAGGAGTTAGCAGTCGTGCACACTGGAGCTCCTGCAAAAGGACTCAAAGAACAAGTCCGAGTCCACACACAAGACACGGTCGCCCGACTTCCTTCGTTCACCCACGGGCTCATTCTCTTCAGCGAGCCCGCCTCATTGGCCCGCCCGCCTGCTTGCTTCATGCTCGTGCACACGATGCTCGCTCTCGCACATGATGCTCGATCGTTCCACGCGCGGTGTCGACAAGCGAGACATCCACATTCCCCGGCGTTGCTGGTGGTAACCTCCCTCAGACACCGCACGGAGCCGAGCGTGCCGTGGTACGACCCCACGGTGGGGCACCTGCGTACGCTCGGCGGGCCGGTGCTTGACGTGGCGGAGCGAACTGTGAGGAACACTGACGCGAGCGCGCGGCGGTGGGCGCGTGTGGCGTACTTGCAGGCACGATGATGGACGCGTACATGGTAAGTCAACAATAGAATTGACATGCTTACGGTATGATCGTATTCATTGATCTCGCATTCTATTGACGCTCATGGCACACTAGTTACGATCCCTGAGGTACGAAGGTATCGTTCTTATGATGGACAGGCCTGAAACGCTTCCAGTGGCGCCCAATGCGGCAGTTTTTTCCCACAGGTACAGTCATTTGCCCCCAGCTTATCATGTATAGTTAACATTTGTTATGGTCAGTTAGCGGAGTTCAAAAATTTCAGACTCCCAGACAACGCGACTTGCACCAACACCACCAAACAAATGCCGTGGCTCAGTGCTTTGTCCTGGGGTGAGGGCCCAAGAAACACTTCCAGTGGCGCCCAATATGGCAACTGGTGAGAATGTCATGTGACTGGCAGCCAGGCAGCTCACTGCTAGCGCTCACACTTATAGGCTGCCCCATAGCCCTAGTTAGTAACAATTTTGAATGGACTTAGTATACTGATCTGATAGCCCTTCATTCAGAGAGTATACACTATCATTATTGAGTAGCTAGAGTGGCTGGCTGGTCCAGAAAATGCAAAATAAAAAAATCCACACGTGCCTCTGCAGATGTCAAAGTGCCTATTTGTGCCTCAGATGTGCTCCATATGTCTGTAATGACATACATACGTGATTCATACACTGTACAACTCAGTGGGTGCTGCACTACAGCCAAAATCAGCCACAATGAGTCATTTGAGATGTTGTAGTCCATGTACATGGTGTAGTGATGTCTAGAATAATCCCAAGCACTCAGATTCTCCTATTGGGTGCTTCTGTATATTTGGCAGATTTTCTGCATTTTTGTGACCTCCATGGGCACCACATCTTGTCCTACTTCCCCTTTGGGCAGGACACCTACTCTATATGGTAGT